TCTCCAACTTTTTTCTCCTGTAACAGGTTGGTTACATTTTTTTTTTTAAGCTACATCTGCATCTGTTTTTGCTCATTTGCTTTTCTGAGGGCTGGAAACTCAAACAGAGAAGCTGTATTCAGACTTTCTAATAACAGCTGATGTAAAATAATGGTAGATAAAACCTAGAGAGCTCTAGCATGGGAGAAGTCTCTTGAGAAAATGAAGAGCAAAGTTAAATATCTCCTCAGTTTGGATCTCCATACTGAAAGCTTTCCTTTATCTTGAGCAATGTTGTGGTCTAAAGGTTCACATCTGTGGAAGTACCACATGTACTTTCACTGTTAAGGGGACTTTGACTTTCCATAGTGACCAAACAAATGTGACTCCAAAATAAGCAGCTCCAGATCTGACCTTCATTTACCCTGTTTGCAATAATAAAACACAAACCCAGTGCCCTCCAAATAGATTTTATCTAATCCAGAATTACGCAGAAGTGTGATTTTAACCAGATAGCTAACTGGTGAAAAATCCTGAATTCTAAATCAGAAGAGACCAAACTAAATGGTAAATGTAAAAGGGAGAAGTTACAGCAGACTGGGTCACACTAGATTTGCTGATTTATTCTAGACAACTCAGTCAGATCACTACTGCAGTGAATGACAACCACCTCATGCTTCATGACCATTTATATAGTATTATCCTTCTGATTACATAGGACTTAAAGTTTACAAAAGTTTCCATAGTGTTCAAGTTCTTAGCTCCATTCTCCAAAAAACACAGATTGTTTCATTTAAAGACTTCACAATAAGCAGTTTATTAACAAAACAATCAGCTGCCTGTGTCTACTTCTTAACTAAGTACACCTGTAAAAGCTAATTCTTCATCCTTTGTCAGCCTGCCTTTCTATCAATTAGCTCGACTGGGTGTTGAAGTGCCATGAAAGGAGCTACACAGTGGATGAAGCTGAGAACTTCTGCTTCAGCTCATTCAGCAGCAATACAAATCACAAAGGCACACGACTTAATTCAAAGAAGAAAATACTTACTCTTTCATAATAAGCAAGAGGGGACACATCTCTCTGATAATTGCAAATTTAGTCCAGAGTATTAATACTCCCCCTTTTTGTACTTGGCTCCTGCTTCTCCTTCTGTCTCCTAGGAACAATAATCTCCACAGTCTCATACATCTGTACCTGGGTCATAGCCTAAGGAGCATATGTAATATGAAGTTTGCAAATCCAATGAGTTATGGTACTAACAAAACTGCTGAAAAGCACCAGGATATTTTGCCATCCAAAGGAGCTAGTTTTGAAGAATACCTGACAAAAGTCAATTAGTTTAGACCCTACAAATAGTAATATAAAGTAAGGCCCTTCTAGTTCTCCTGGATTTCAGTGAGCTGTGACCAGCATCTTCCCTGAGTTGGGACACCTCTCAGTATTACCAGATTCTCAAGGCCATCTATTGATGGAGCCAAGACAAAGTCATCTCTCTCAAGCCAGTTTGTATTACAGTCCACTGAGGAATGCTGCTATAAAGTGAGTATTTACTCCAAACTCAAGTAGAGAGAGGTGTTATATTTAGGCTAATTTATTCTTCCTCCATCTACCTCCCCACCTATATACGTGTTCTATAAACACATATTTGCTTCACTAGCCTGAGTGTTCAGACATTTTACTGGATCCACATATTCCTGTATGCTTAAGTACAAACATATATTCCATGCTCAAGAACCATGCCCAGACAGCATAGGGTGCATGAAAGGCAGGTCCTGCTCAACTAATATGACTTCCTTCCATGAAGGAGTAACCCACCTAGAAGGTGAGGGACAGGCTGCTGCTGTACTCTACCCCAACTTCAACAAAGCCTTTGACACAGTTTCTTGAAGTATTTGCCTAGAAAAACTAGTAGACTATGGCTTAGACAGGTATGCTCTGCTAGGTAAAGAACTGGCTGAACAGCTGGGCCCAGAAAACAGTAGTTATAACACAACAAAAACCCAACAATGAAAGCAGAGCAGCAAGATGCCAGGCTATAGCAAATGAAAATTTGCTCAAATACAACAGCCACAAGCACAAAAACAAAGAAAAGAAGCTACTTACCTTCCAAGGATCTCAAGTAAGCAGGGAACTCCAGCAAAACACTCTTGCCTCCACTGCCAACCCTTAAATGAGGTCTGGGAAGGGGTGGATCCTGGCTTCTCACCTTCTGGTCACTCAGGTGTATTGCATTGCATGCACCTGAGCTCACCTGGGTTGGCCCTGCCTTCCTACCAGGTGATCAATCACTTAGCATTTCTGCTACAGTGGTGAATGAAGTTAAATCCAGCTAATGAAGGGTCACAAGCTGTGTTCCCTAAGGACTGGTATCAGCACATCTCCTGTTTAAAATCTTTGACGACCTTGATGAGGGGATTAAGTACACCCTCGGTAAGTTTGCAGGTGATATCAAACTGAGAGGAAGTACTGATCTGTCTGAGGGTAGGTCCTCTCCTTCAGAGGGATCTGGATATGCTGGGTTTCTGGACTGAGGCCAGCAGGATGGAGTTCAACAAGTCCAAGTGTTATGTCCTGCACTTTGGCCACAAAAACCCTAAGCAACCCTACAGCCTTAGAGCAGAGAAGCTGGAGAACTACGTAGAAGAAATGGACCTGGGGGTGCTGGTTGATGCTCTCTGAAACATGAGCCACCTGTTTGCCCAAGTAGCCAAGAAGGCCAATGGTATTCTGGCTTGTGTCAGAAAGAGAGCCCCCAGCAGGAGCAAAGAAGAGATTGTCCCTCTGTACTCAGTTCTGGTGAGGCTACATCTTGAGCACTGTGTTTGGTTTGGGAAAGACGCTGAAGTCCTGAAGAATGTCCAGAAGGTCAACAAAGCTTGTGAGGAGTCTGGAGCACAAGTCTTATGAGGAGCAGCTAAGGGAACTGGGATTGTTCAGTTTGGAGGAAGCTCAGAGGAGACCTACCTGAAAGGATGCTGGGGCAAGGTGGGGGTCAGCCTCTTCTTCCATGTAAATAGTGACAGGACTAGAGGGAATGGCATCAGCTGGTGCTAGGGGAAGGTTTAGATTAGTTATTAGGAAATCTTTCTTCTCTGAAAGGCTGATCAGACACTGGCACAGACTACCCAGGGAGGTGGTTGAGTCAACGTCCCTGAGGTGTTCAAGAAATGTTTAGATGTGGTACTAAGAGACATGGTTTAATGGGGGAATATTGGTGGTAGGTGGATGGGATGATCTTGGAGGTCTTTTCCATTCTTTGTGATTCTGTATGTTCTGCATCTGTGCATATGTATGAAAATTGATTTAGAATATCCTGTTAGTAAGTTCATGAATCTTGTCATTTTTGAATTTGTAATCAAGTTGCTATTTAATTATTACTTATTTCCCTACATCATCTCAAATCTCCCAATTGGCTAATGATTATATGCTGTTAAAATTCAATCTTTTAATTTACCTCATATTACCAGCATATCTTAAATTACTACTGAACATAAACAAGTTAAATATTTTTTTCATTTCTGGTGATGACACCTAGACTTGACTTTACTTGTTTTTTCAGTATGGTATGAAAGTCCCTTTGCAGTTCTGTATAAGATACATACATAATGCTCTGTTTATATTTGTGCTTTAGTGTGTAAGCTCAGCAATAGAGTTCCATCTTTGGCTAACAAAAAGGCATCCACTGTAATTATGAAGAGCTTTGATGCAGTAATTGTCGCATAATTATTGCTTGGACAATCTCATATAATAACTGCTCTCAGGAGCAGTATTTTCAGCCTTTTTGTGAGACTGAAGACTTGCTGGTTTTTTTGTGCGTTCCCAGTAAGAATAAATATCTTACATTGTCAGACAAAATCTTTATTCTGACCCAAAAGACATTTTTAAATTTATTGCCACCCATTCTTCCATCAGCTCTTTTTTATTTTTCTTGCAGATTTGTGTTCTTCAGAAATACAACCTTTGAGTACAAACTACGTTAAGCTCCCTATGTTTTGGCTGATTTTTTCCTAAGCTGCTGAGCTGCCACAGCTTATCCAGAACTGCGATGGCTATGTAATAAGAAGAAATGAATAGCAATGGATGAAAAAACTTCATATTTTCAGGTATTATATTTAATGGTCAAAATGCCTCAGTGTGCTTCAGTGTTCACGAAGAATGTGAGTGGGGAAAAGTGATTTCAACCTCTGGGTATGGGGCTTGCAGAAATATATTACTGCATAAAAAGCAAATCTTAATAGCGGTATGAAGCAAAACTTCTTGGTGAGTTGTGAAAAGACACTGACTTTCAATATCTGAGGACATGTATATTTATTCAAGTGGAGTTGGCTGATTTATTACGCTTGTCTTATAACCTGTTATGCAAAATGCAGTGATCTGGAAAGCAAATTAGCTATTATAAAATGGTAAAGCATTGAGCTGCTATTTAAAATGCATGCATACATGAGAAGTCTACGAAACAATATTTATGGATGCCATGAAGAAAAATCTGACTATTCAGGCATTAACTGCTGAAGCATGAGGTCAAAGAAAGCACTTTTCTGCTGATTACCAACTTTGAATTAACTCATAGGCAGCCAGAATCAGAACTGGGGCTGTGTGACTGTGCAGGGCTCGGGTGGGGATGGGAAGGGCAAAGAGATCTCTCCCTTCTGATGTGGAGAACCATTAGGTTGGCTCAGTTGTTCAAGGAACGGCCCTCATTTGTTAAGAAAAAACAACCCAGGGCATCCAGGATTAAACAAACAAAATCCTAAACTGGAATAGCAACTGAAAATTTCATTTATGAAGCGGAATTGGAAGAAATTGAGTATTAGGGCCTTGTATTCCTTGTCCCGCATCCATTAACTCTACAACGACCACGGGACAAACGCGTTTCCAATGTCACCCAGCTTCCAGCCTGCTCGGCGTTGTTTTTGCGCTGCCTTAACGGGGAGGTACAGAAATACAGCATTTCACTTCAAACTGATCCCGAAGTAATCATCAGCCCTGGGCAGGGAAGGTTCAGGAAGCAGTTGTCAGCTTTGGTCACAGGAATTTATTCAATGCGCGTATCGCACTGAGGAATGGAGAAGGATTAAATATGAACCCCGCTCTGAAAAACAAACGAGTCGACGGCTGCCAGCAGCCGAAACGCAGCGCGCCAGGCACCGCCACAGAGATGTGCCTCCAGGGCATCACCAGAACCAGCAGCGTTCGGAGCCACGCTGCAGCTAGGAGCACAGCGGAGCGCGTTCCGCAGCGGGCACACGTCGTTCGGCGGGGCTCAGCTGCTGCGCGACAGCCACACGCCGCCATGGCCGCCGATGGCGGGCGGGAGCCTCGCCGCGGTCGCCCCGCCCCGCTATTGTGTCTGGCGCTGAGGCGCCCGGCGCGCGCCTGAAGGACCCGAGCGAGAGGAGCCGAAGGGCAGCGGCGCGGCTGGAAGGCGCTTCCTCCGCCCGCTCGGCGGGCTCAGGCGTTCTCCGCGGGCACTCGCGTACAGCGAGGACCCCGCGCCGCTCGCTCCCGCGCCGCCTGCCTTACGCGCTCGCGTGCGCGCTCTCGCTCTCTCCCATAGTAGCGCTGTGCGGAGGTGGAAGGAGCGGCGCGGGGCCGGAGTCGGCTGAGGCGGTCATTCCTCTAGCGAGAGCGCGGCGCACCGAGTCCCCCCTCCCCCGGGCCACTCAGGCACACGGTGAGGGGGGCGGCGAGGCCCTCCGGACACCGGCGGGGTGGGGTGGGAAGGGGGGGGCGGTGGAAATGGCCGCGCTCGGGGAATGACCGTTGGATGGGCGAGCGCCGGCGCGAGGCCGCCCGTCACGTGACCGCCCTGCGCGCGCCCGGGGCCGAGTCGGGGGGACGGGGGCGCGCGCGGCCGGCAGGTGCGGCTGGCGCGCGTCCGTCCTGGGCGTGGGGAAGCGGCCGTGTGCGCGCCCGCCCTCCCGCGTGTCCCCTCCGGCGGCCCGTTCTCCTCACGCGCGCTCTCTCCCGCGCAGAGATGCCCTCGGCTACCAACAGCACCATGGCGAGCAGCAGCAGCGGGAAGGCGGGCCCCGGCGGCAACGAGCAGGCCCCGGCGGCGGCGGCGTCGGCCCCGCAGGCGTCGGGCGGCAGCATCACCTCGGTTCAGACCGAGGCCATGAAGCAGATCTTGGGCGTGATCGACAAAAAGCTCCGCAACCTCGAGAAGAAAAAGGTGCTCCCTTCTCTCTCCCCGCTTCCCCCAAAGCCGCCTGTCCCCAGGGGAGCTCGCGGGCCCCTCTGGCTCCCCGCCGGGCCCCGGGCGGCCGCCGCGTTCCCGCAGCCCGCCGTCTCGGGGGACGCCGAGGCGGCCCGGCGCCGTCCCTTCCCCGGGCCGAGCCGCGTGCCCCTGTCCCCGCTCCGGGCGGCCGCGGCCGCTCGGGTTGTTCCCGGCGTCGCCCCCAGGGGCCGCCCGCTGGAAGGTTCCAGAAGGGCGAGCCGCGCTCTCCCGGCCTTTCCCCTTCCTCTTTCGGGGGTCCCCCGGCCCCCTCCGCGGGCCGCCCCTTCGCCGGGCCCCGCTCGGCCCCTCGGAGCGGACGCGGCCCTTCCCCGCGGGCCGGGTGCCGGAGGCCGGTGCCGACGGGCGCCTCTCCGCTGCGGACCGCGGCCCCCTCCCGGCGAACCCCCGGCGGCGCGGCCCCCTCCCCCTTCCGCCTTTTGTTCGCCGCGGCGGGGCTCGGCCGGCCCGTACTGCGGGAGGGCCACCGTTCTCGGCCGTGTTGCGGCCCCGCGCCCCGCCGGCAGCGCTTCCCCAGCCCGCTCCGCGCGGCCGAGCTGCGGGGCCGGAGCGCCGCGTCCCCCCGAGCCGCGCACATGGAGGCGGGAGCTAACATGGCGGCGGCGAGGCCGCCTAAGCCTCCCCGGCGGAACTGCATTGTGCCAGCAGCCCGCACAAAGCCGGGCCGCCCCGCCCGCGGCTCTTCGCCTCGCTCCGCTCTCGCCCCTCGGGAGCCCCGGGTCAGCTGAGAGCGGCCTTTGGGCGGTTATTTATAGAAAGAGCCGCCGCTAAATCCGTGATCCGGGGAGGGTTCGGGTTTGTGATAGAGACGAGATGATGCCCTGGTTAGTGGGGATTTAGACGGCACCGTTCCGTGCTTTGCGCTGTGGGATGCGGGGAGGGGTTCCCCTTCGGTAGGGGAACCTTCAGTAGGGCACCGACAGGCATAGAGCCTGCAGACGTACTGGGAAGCACAGCATCACCAAGCTAAAATTTGGGAGCACTCAGATAGAATTTCAAGTCTGTGCTGAGGCCCTAAATCTGTTTTAGCTCTTTAGAGTTAATAAGCACAGTTACACTTCAGTTTTTTAACCAACATTTTAGGTTCTAGTAGTCAAGATAGGTATACTAAAGAAGGCCAAAACATAAGGCCTTACAGGTGAGTTGTGAATGAAGCATGTAAATCTGTGTATGCAGTGGTTTCTCACTTAAAAAAATAAAATGTTGGATTTTCCTGCTGTTTAAAAAACAAAAAGATACGTGCTGGGAGCTTTTAAATAAGCTTACAATTGAAGGATTGCTTCTTGACCCTTGTCTGAATACTGTTGTGTATAGATGGGACAAAACATCTTTCTTAAATGTGTTCATGTGTACAAATGTGTGCCTGCAGAACACTGGCCCTCATCTTGAGAAAGTATGCAAGTCTTTCAGTACGTATCTCAAATGGTTCTGGTAAGATGGTTTGAAACAATGGTGTCCAACATACACCATGTAGTATGGTACTAAAATATAGAAAAAAGACAGGAAAGTAGTTTTCTGTGATGTTGAACATGAGTATTTTTAAGTCAGAAAGTCTTCTGATCAATTCCGTATATAGAAGAAATGAAGAAGATAAGCACACTGTTACTGGTGTGCAAGTCAGCTTTCCTTTCCAGTGGCGTTTTTATTTACCTTTTCAAATAAATAATTCACACCTAATTTACACTTGGCTCGTCCGTTCCCTTCTGTTTGAATGGGCCTTCTCGAGTGCTTCTGTAGTACCTGAAGTTAAAAGGGTGTGTGGAAGGCGGTTATTTCAATGAAACAGAGTGAAAATTAGTGTTATTGCTCATTAATGACCTGGTTCTTGTTATTTTTTGTGCCTGTGGCTGCTGTCATCATGTTTTTATCATTATGGTGTCTTAGCAGCTGACTGCAGGGAAAGTACCTTTTTTTATCTGGAATAGTAATTCAATTGAAATTACTTTGAGCATCTCTTTGGGAGAATCAGTGCTCTGCCTTCCCTCCTCCCCCTATTGATCTTTATGTATTAAATCAGAGTTACTAATTTGTGGGCTTGAGCCTGTCCTTTAGTTGGGGAACCAACAGTTCTTCAGTAGATCAGCATTCTGTTAATGAAGAGAACGTTAAGTGTGTAACTGTACACATGGACTTAACTATTTTTACTGTATTACTAAGTTTACCAAATGTAAGGGAACTGTTGAGTCAGGCCTGAACCACTGATTGATCACCTGCAGCAAGGACTGGGTCAGCTGTGGGAGCACAGGTGAAGGCAATTCAGGTGTGTGACCAGAACGCTCCACCTCTCCTAGACCCCATGTAAGGGCTGACTGCCCCTGGGGAAGGATCTTTTTCTGGAGATCTCTCCTTTTTGATGTTTTCTACTGTGAGCCTAGGATAAGGGTGAGCATTTCTTCCTTGTTTGTTTCTTTTTAACCACGATAATCTTTCCAACTGTAACAGCTGTAAAGAGCCATCCTAACTACACTACTCTTCCAACTATACACCAAAATACATAAATGAATTTTCATTGAGATTTTTAACCATCTGGAAAGTAAAATCATGCTGGATAGTGTCCAGTTGGGAACAAGTGGGAAGGTTGTGTAAGTCACACAGAAAATTCCTGCTTAGCTGAATGTTCAGTCGTTTGTCAGCAGCTGATTACAAGGGTTGGGGGAGAGATTAGTTTAAGGGCTCAATTTTTGAGAGCAGTTATAAAATTATATTTGACTAAGACATGCTTCTAGTGGGTGAAGTGTAAGAAATGCTGTTTAACTCTTAAATTGTATATGCAGCTTTTAGTTAAGTAAAGGTCATTCCTTATGAAAGAACTCAAAGTTTGAAGTGAACTGTTGTCATGTTCCATTTTAAGCTCTGAGCACAAAATCACATGGCCAGCAAAATACAGTATAGAACTCATAATGTTGCTGAGTTTTGTACTATTTTGAATGTTTCTGAATGTTTTGGGAATAGTACGGTGTTATGGTTTTATGTTCTTCTCTTAGAAGTTATCTTTTTACTTCAAACAAGTTTGGCTTAGTTTGAAGGGAATTAAGAGAAACTGAATTGCTATTTATAAATGTATGTGAAAATATGGTCTGAAAACATCTATGTTCTCTTCATCTCCTTGTATTTGGAAATGGTAGGAATGCTGTCCTGTTTTCTTCCTTATTTTATTAGGTGAGTAGACCCTTTCCAAATTAAGCTGATTGAATATAGATCAAACCCATGTCCTGTTACAATGGGGAATGAAAAAAACAAAAAGCCTTATGATTTCAGCTCACAAAAACAATTTTTAAAACAGAATATTCTCTAGAAGGGACAAAATCTCTCATTTGCTAACACATTTTAAGATATGGGCAGGTGATCACAAAGATTATTCTTGGGGAACTGCAGATACAAAGTATGTTAGCTTAAAGTATTTGATGTGACCTGGCCTTGGTGTATTCGATTTACAGTTGTAAAGATGGGGCATTTTAGCTGTTGTTGGTAATGTAAGACACTGTTGCTTTATCAGCTTGTCTCTGAATACGTGTAATCCTGATTGGGTTGGATTGGGTGCTGTCTCTGTAACTATTACCCAGCTGCTGTTCCAGCGAAAATTCGTGTGTATTCAGGTTGTTCTGACCTAAGAGGCAGCTGTCCTCCCCATTCAGTAAAACGTTGGATTAACAGCTAGCAGCCTATAGTAAAAGCTGAGATCAGTTTTCTATTCCTGTAGATGCAGCTAGTGATAGCAGGAAAGTGCCATGTTCCAAGTTTGCCCGCCAGCTGCCTAAGTGCTTTTGTACCATTATGTGGGCCACTTGGATGTTCAGGGACATCTTGTGTCTCTCCAGAACCCCTCTCCTTGTGAAGCTTGGTTCTACCAATAGTTTGCCCCCTAAGTGGGCTGTTTTGTTTTGTGGCAATATATCAGCCCTAGGGCTAGTCTGGATTCGCAACATATGTGGGTCCTGTCCTGTTAAAATGAACATAATTGTGTCCCCATTGCCAGCACAGCACAAGTGTTTTCTCTGCAATGTCTATAGCAGTGGAAGCATGCAGGATATGTTGCTGATTGCTGCAGCTATTATGGTCTGTCGCTGTTGCACACTGTTCTTCAAAGAAGGAATCGTCACCTCCTCTTTCTCCCTTTCTTCACCCACACATGTAAGTTGATTCTTCTGGAATGCTGATCTAGAAGTTACTGAAAAACAAGTGCTGCTTCAGAAAGGTCCTGTTGCCATCTGTGCTGGATGAAGTATGAGGCTAGTTCAAATTTATCTTTGGAGATGAGACATGATTTTGAAAGTGAGGGCTTGTAAAACTGTTTGAAGCTTCACGCTGGAAGTCTGAAACTTTCACTGAAACCTCTGACTGAAGCAGCTTCTGGGAACTTCTGTTAGGTGTGTGTGTATGTATAATAGAAACTGTACCAAGATAGAGAATTGGGGTTGGGTTTTTTTTTGAGAGTGAGAGAGATTTTGGATTTGCTTATTTGATTCTTTATACCCTTTAAGTATTTAACCTTTTTGATTTTTTTCCTCATTTTGTTGAGAAAATAGACTTAAAAATTTTATCTTTAACAGAATTTGCAGGGACGTTAAGATGTGTGACTGTAGAGATGATGGTAGAGAAGAAATAAATTATAATGTGCAAGTATAAAACATGTTAATAAACTTGTATTTCGTAGCTTGCTTTCTTTTTTTCAGTGGGAAACATACAAGAATTGATTTGGATTATCTTAATTGCTTAATACGTGTTTAGAAAAAACTTGCAGTGTTCGAGACTTCAGAAAACAAACCTGAAATAGTTCTCTACCTTTTCTTTGCTTGTAGTGAAGTGCATGTTACAGAGTTTGCTTCAGTGGGTTGGAGTTTACCCTCTTCCACACTGCAGCTTTTCATATACGGTTGTGCTGATATAACTAGCATAAATGATATCGTTGAAGGTACCTGGTTAAATATAGTGCCTTCTTGCTCCCGGCCTCCACCCTTTTTAAGGGTTATTTTTAATCAGATCGTTCCAATGATCCAGTTTATAGCATAGCACTGTAAATGACTCTTAACAGCACAGCTTAGTGGTCAGGCTTTTTTGAAGCCAGTATTGATTTTGAAACTAATGTCATGTAACTGCAGTTTTTTTCACTTCACTCTGACATTCGGAGTGGGTAATGAGTGAATGAGTTTCCTCTCACTTGAATGTGAGAGGAAAGCATCTGTGGCCATAGTAAAGAAAATCAATTTTGGTTTCCTGTTAAAATAAGATGTAGGGCATACTTAAGCAATTGACACCACCATCTCCCTGTCTTCCCTCTGCCTGGACATGTAGCCTATATACAGTACTTTTCTCCTAGGGAAGTCTAAAATACTTCAAGAATCTCAGTGGAAAAAGAGGTGAAGTGTGGTGGCTTTCTGTCTGCAGAACTGGGGTCTTCTGGCTCACAAACTGTTTAATGGGCAATTTATGTGCTCACTTTGCCAATTAATATTTTTTCTGCTGGTTTAACTTTTATACTTCAGCATGAGTGAAAGTGAAGTTGCAGAAGAGGGGTAAAGTTTAAAAATAAAAAAAAACCCCTTTCTTCTTGCAAACGCTGCAGTAGGCTGTGAAGTGGGAGTTTTACTGCAGTTATTTTACAGCACTAATGCTGCTGTTAGATTGCTGTTAGTTCACAGTACTGATTAAAAACATTCTGCTTCCTTAGGCTTCTGTAACATAACATTTTGATCTTATAGTTTCTTGAGGATGATAGAAAATTGCACGTTATTACAAAGATTTCAAGCACCAAGTAAGCAACTAAATACATGTTTGCTTCTCCTCTGCATTGCAGCTGAAAGGGCTTTCCTTCTTTTGCTTTTACAGTTCCAGTATGGATGACTTAGAGTAGAAAAAGAGAAGTAACTATTCAATTCCTAAGTATAGACATATTACCCTTTGTTTTTTCATTTGATACAACCATGGAATGGAAACCATATAAACGAAATATGACTTAAAATGTTTGGCCATTGAAGAAAAACTTGCACAGTATTAATTAGGTTATTGCAGCGTTCTTAATTCGAAGATAATAGCAAAACACATCATGTAAGTTTTTTGCAGCATAGTTTTGCAATATGTTCAACAAAACTTTTCTAAGTAGTGCTGTTCATAGAATGGCTTGGAAGAGACCTTGAAGATCATTTAATTCCAATGCAGCCCACCAGATGAGGCTGCCCAGGGCTCTGTCCAACCTGGTCTTGAACACCTCCAGGGATGGGGCATCCACAGCTTCTCTGGACAGCCTGTTCCAGCACCTCACCATTTTCTAAGTAGAAAATTTCGTTCTAACTTCCAGGTGGCTTCTCCTTTAGTTTAAAGCCATTTCCCTTGTCCTGTCACTATCAGACTTCATAAAAATTCAGTCTCTCTCATGCTTATAAGCATGAGGAAGCATGGAAATACTGGAAGGCTGCATTGAGGTTTTACCAGAGCCTTCTCTTCTCCATGCTGAACAGTCCCAGCTCCCTCAGCTTTTCTTCACAGGAGATGTGTTCCAGCTCTTTGGTTGCCATTATGGCCCTCCTATGGACTTGCTCCAACAGCTTTGCATCATTCTTGTCCTTGGGGCCCCAGAACGCCCCAGGTCCTTCTCTGGAGGGCTGCTCTCAAGAGTTTGTACACACAATCTAGGATTGCCCCAATCCAAGTATAGTAGTACCTTGCACTTGTCCTTTTTGAACCTCATTAGGTTCATGTGGGCCCACTTTTCAAGTCAGTCCAGGTCCCTGTGGATGGCCTGACTTCCTTCTGTTGTATCAGCTGTATGACTCTGATGTCATCAGTAAACTTATTGAGGGTGCACTCAGTCTCACTGTCTATGCCTTTGATAAAGGTACTGAAGAGCACTGGTCCCAGAACAGGTCCCTGGGGACACCCGGACATTGAGCTGTTGACCACAGCCCTCTGACAGCAACCATCCAACCAGTTCTTTATCTGCCAAATAGTTCAGCATTCAAATCTGTATCTCCGCAATTTAGGGATAAGGATTTGTTGTGGAACTGTATCAAAGGCTTTCCAGAATTCCAGGTAGATTCTTCAGGATCTTGGTGCTCAGTCCTGTTAGTGTTACTGTTTGATGGTTTATGGGCTTGTGCTGGAAACTGCATCACCGACATTGTTTGGGGTTTTTTTTATGTGTTTTGTAGACACTACTTTTACCCTCTTACATTAGCAGTCCAGTTTACTTTGCAGCCTCACAAACAATTGCATCACTGTGACTGAGGGAATGGTAAACAGAAGCATGGAAGCAAGTGGTTTGAGTGAGTAGGAACTTCTTGAAATCAGTCTGTGAAGCCAACTTAGTTCAGGATGCCTTAAGCAGAGGTTTGGTTAACCTGACTCTGTCTTTGGGCATTGGAATGTTTGAGCTCTTTACATTTCTTTTTTAACTCTTTGTAGCTCAGCTGGTGTCTCTAAAATCATGAAAACTACTTCTCTACTTTGTTCAGCCACGTTTTCATCCGTTTTAATACAAGGTAGTTTGTATGAGAATTAAATTTCCTTGTTTCCTGATGTGGTAGATTTCCAATACACTGAATGCTTTTCAGGGCAATTCTATTGATATATTTCCATCTGTGGCTGGTGCATTTGACTGCTTTTTTATAGTGCTAGCATCTGTGTCTAGCATGAAATTCCCTATAATATGTTGTTGGAGCTCAGGAAGTTCTTATTTCTTGGACTCTGCTTACAGCATTACTGGCTCCAGTGCACTGAAAGGTGTAGTTAAATCTAATGGGTAGAATTTTCAAATAATTTTTTTTTTTTTTGTCTCCAGGCAACACCAAAAGGACCAAGTCACATCAGTGTGTTTCTGTGTTTGACTAAGTGATGCTGGATATCAAATAATATAAGCTTTGCTGTTCAGTTCTTTCATAGTCCATTCTCAGAGGTCTGGTGTTGAGCAGAGGAGGTGAATTAGCTAGAAAAACTCTAGTAAAATATTTTGACTGACATATCAGTAAGTAAAATTAGCGGTAAAAGAAAAATCCACAAATAAGCCACTGCCACCAAAACAAACAAGAACAACAAAAAAAAAACCCATGTCATTCAGTGACAAGTATAAACTAAAGCTATGGTTGTATCAGGATTTTAATTCTTCTGTGTTCAAAAAGAAGTTTGCCTGCTCTCATTTTCATGTTTTTTTTAATACTAGATCGGGAAGATAATGAATAAGGATCACTTTAAAGCTTTTAATAAGCACAAAGCAAGCTTCATAAAATTGTTATCAGTTGTGGTATGTAGAGATGGTGGAAACTTAGAGATCTGTATGTAGGTTTTTCATACAGACTTTGCTTCCTGCCTAAGACCCTTAGAATTCAACCTGTAATCCTTTATGTCATTCTGGGCCTGCATAAGTTATACCTGCTCTTTACTACTCTCAGTGTTTTGCGCAGTTTTGTGTTTAAGCAGATTAGAGACTTGATCCTGCTGAAAATTAAGCTAATGACTGTGAAGTGTCTCCCCTTTAGAAAGAAATCTTCATGCTTTTGAACAGAAATGTTTTATTGCTATTAACATGAGCACTATCATAACTGGTTCAAGTGTGAAGAATTACAGTTTTGAACCTCATTAGCAGTGGCTTTTTACTTGCAGTCATGTTTTTGGTATTGTAGTGATACAGTGGTATTATTGTAGCTCAGGACTCTCTGTAATTAGGAATGAAGGAAGTGTACAATCAACATTAGGAATCCACGTTAGGAAAAACATGTCCTTGCTTGGAAACTGAGACAGTTCATGAAGGTGCATTGTTCTAGCCGAAGTAAGAGTTGTAAATACTTTCCTAAGAGACAAATATTTTCATTTTTAACCCAGAAGGCAAGTTTTCTTGGGTACTATTTCTACGTGATAGTTGCATGTTTGTCTAATATGCTACAGTCTGTGTTTACTGTAATATGGCAGTACCTGATTTTGTTAGCAGAAACAGAAAAAGCAGTAACCTTTGTAATAGGATTTTTCTTTCCTTTCAGAGCAAACTTGATGACTACCAGGAACGAATGAACAAGGGAGAACGTCTAAATCAAGATCAACTGGTAAAAAGAAAAAAAACAACTAGATCTCTCTTAATGTTTGGTGATGTTGGGGAGGGGAGGAATGAATTTCACTTCTGCTTGTTAAAAGCTAGATTTTTAAGACCTTAGTTTTGACCTCTGTTTCTTATTGCCTGGAAGATTTCAGTTTTTGCCTTTATTAGAAACTGAAGGAATCTGTAGAGGAATTTGTCACAATACTTTGTTATGCTAGCTGAGGTTGGGTTGTAAGCAGGCTGTGGTGAAAAATGGCTTCTGTTGTAATCTAGTACTTTTGAATGAGCTGAACAGTATCTTTGAGGTTCCCTGGACATCATTCTTTTCTTCCTGGAAAATGTGCCTAGGGAAAACTTAAAGAGCTTAGTCACTTGATCACACTTAACTTACAAATAAGTAGTCTAGTTAGAGGTTTAGCTTAGACTGAGTTCTGCAGGAGAGCTGTCACTCTCGGTAAACTGGGCTTGCTATCTATGTGAGTATATATCTGTGTGTGTATATATCTCTATATATCTATAAAAAATGGCTCTCTCTATGTTCAGGCCGTTAAAGTAGGAGGTTGTAGAGCTCAGCTTAACAGCTGTTTTCCAGTTGTAATAAACATGAAGCAAGTATTAAATTCAGTTGTATTATGCAAACATGCAAATTGATATTAGAGATTGCTTGGGAGTCAGCAATATTTTGTTGATGATTTTCAGCATGGAGAAGACTAATAAAAATGTACTCAGCAATTGTAGCTCTTCACATTACAGAAATCAGTTACTTCCCTTGTTCCATGTGATCTTTTCATCTGTTTAGTCTCAGCTAATCACTTTGGTTCTTCTTTGTCCATTAATTGACTAGTGAAATATCATCAGTTGATGTATTTTTATTTTTTTTAATGGCAATATTGTGAAAATAAGCCATGAGAAGTTTTCTGTTTGAGCAGAGAAGATAACAAATTTGACCTTCAGAAGAGAAGCTCCAGAGTTAAATTTAATGAGGAGCAGAGCCTGACTGCAGCACTTCATAACCATGAAATTGTGTTTGAGTAGAGAAATGCTGAAAGCTCACTACATCTTTTGCTTCAATAAATAGCTAAAGATGATGAATTTTGCAAATCAGCTAATAAGTTCCTTACTTGTATTGCAAACAGAAATGCCTGGAGATTTAAAAAAACAAAACAAAACAAAACAGTTCATGTTCTTTGCTTTTCAAAGGAAGTAGAATCTTTCCTCTGGCTTGTCTGTTCCTACCAAGAATGTGTACATTCTTGAATTAATCTCAACAGAAGTGTAATGTAATTTGATTCTGTAATTTGTCATTACTACAAAGTAAGGGAGGTAAGGTGTATGGATTACTTTGATGGTAGAAGATAAACTGCAAAACAATATAAAATACAAAAATCTGTGGACAAGGGAACGTTATGCTATGTATATTGATTTGATTGCAATGGATTAATTCTCAGATCTTTATTCCAAGCAGTTTCGAGTTGTCAAATTATTCTTCTCCTATCCTGTATCAGTTTTTTTCCTCAGAAACTGTCTAAAGCTGGACATTAAACTAGTGTGTCATGCTACTCAGTGTGTCAGCATATTCATGCTTATGTTTCAGTGTACTTCCTAAGAAACAGCAGGCCCTGAAGGCATACAAGACATGCACAAGTCCCTTCCATATTTTGGCCAGTGAGAGTTCAAAAACATTGCTGCAGTCTGTTTAGAGATGGTTACTTGTGCAGCTGTGTCTCACTTAGAAACTGAAAGTGCATCAAGTAGTTTTTTGGAAGCATATATTTTGTTCTCTTTCTGATAGGTTGCTTTTCTTTTCTTTTTTTTTTTTGCTTTTAAGGATGCAGTATCAAAATACCAGGAAGTGACAAATAATCTGGAATTTGCTAAAGAACTGCAGAGGAGCTTTATGGCACTGAGCCAAGATGTAAGTAAAGTGGCCCAGTGTGGGCTTTCAGCTGCTGTGTGTGGCACTTGGGATTTAAATGTCTTTCACCAACACTGGATGCAGCAGCCTCTATTGCGGAAAGTGAAATGCTCATTATATGTATGTTTGAGTACTTTCTCTTAATGTTGCACTAGCTTGTGACACGTTTCCTCAAAACCACTCCTAGATATTTTCTGAAGCGCTGCCTGAAGATACGGGAACAAAAATATAGTGGTAATTTCCTGACAGGACAGACACTCTTAAGACACTGATCACTGGACAGGCCTGACATACAACACTGTAGTCTGCCGCTTATTGCCATAAGTAATTCTTTTTTTCCTGAAAGAAGTGGGATTTCACAGGCCCGCTTCTCTGGCAAGTGGTTGAATGTTTCTATTTCCTTATGTTACTGTAGCTTATCAAGCTTCAGCAACTGAAAGCAGTTCCTTTTTCAAGATTTTTCCTGTCTTAGTAATTGCAAATACAGTCTGAAACTACGATAAGGAACAAGTTTCAAGACTAAAATATTTTTTATAAATTATAAGATAACTGAATACTGCTTAAAATAGATAGTCTTTGAAACTGCTGCTACGTCCGGGTTGTAAAATGACAGTGTGATCAAGAATAAGTTCTAAAATTCCAAGAAGATAATTCCAGTTATATGAGCAGCTTTTCTCTTCATTCTCTTCAAAAGAGACAGTTCAGGCCTATTCAATATCATTTCAAGGAAGAACTAATGCAGGTGCGAACAGAAATCATAATCCATCCCACATGAGTGGAAGATTGTATATGTAGTTAGAATTGATGAGTTACAGAAAGAGCAGTAACATTGTTAGAATTCATTTAGTCATCAATGTTAAACTAGTTTGCTGCATTAACAAGTGTATTTGATTTAGGAACAAGCTATGTGACAATTTCAAGGCCACTCAGCATCCTGACATTATAGGCTGTTTTCTGCGTTTCTTTTGGTTGTAAACTTAGAAGCATGTAAGCCAAGCCATTTTTTTGCTTTCCTTGCATCAGGTTTCCGTGTGTGTTCATGGAATGTTAGTAACAAAGACCTTTCTTCCTCCAGCCAGTATGTCCTGAAATGTTTCTTGGTCAGCTAACTGCCAACAGAAAGAGGGGCTCCAGGAATAAGAAGTTGATCTCTTGCTTTAAATCTTGCTTGCAATTGTTTCAGATTAGAAACAATGTAGATGCTTCAGAGTGAGAGAATTACTATCATGAGTTACATCTTTTGGAAAAGAAAGTTAAATTTTTGTGTACTTCGGATGAGAACAAGTTCAATTTTGGAGGCTAGAACAAAGAATAAAAATGAAAGAAATGTCCTGTGGGCTCAGACTAGTAAGGCATTTCAACCAGTATTATGACAGCAATTGTAGAAGATATGATAGATTACATAACAAAAATTATCTGTTCCGTGCCAGCATTCATCATCCTCAAACTGAGAATGCTGGAGAGTTGATTCCTTCCTGTTCCCTTTAGTATGTGTGAACCTTTTGTCTAAGAATTTGTTGTATTGCTTTTCTTAAACTTGCTGATAATAGTCTCCCCAGCCTTCATGGCAAAACATTCCACAAGTTCCCTCCCACGAGTACTTTTACTTATCTGTTTTAAGTTGACCTCCGACTAGTTCCAGTGAATGCCTTGTACTGACTGTGATAGGATATGGTGAATCGCTGCTCTGTTAGTGTTATCTGCTGACCTTTGTGGCCAATGAAACAAAAAATCTGGATCACTTTTACACCTCCACATTGTAAAGCCTGAACTTGGGTTGTAAATAGCCATAATTTTTGTTTAAAAGGTACTTTGCTGTGTGCATTTGTTTATTTTCATGTAAATCAAAATCATTTAGATGTTACAAAATAATTCATAAAGGAAGCAGATAATACTAATCTGAGCTTGTTTCACACAGCTCCTTCACATCTGAAACTTTATACATTGCGGCTGCAGTTGCTTGACTAAACTACTCATAAGTCATGCAGAGAAATACAGACTTCAGATAAGAATATAATCGAAATCCAATGTAATGTAAGGTTTGTGGCATTGATTCTAAAATTTGGCTTAATTTGCAGGCTTTTGACTTTGCTTGAAAGATAATTTTTATGCTTCACTGATGCTCTGCTGTAACATTAGATTGATAAGTAGCGGTTCGACATCCATCTTTACTTACCAATAAAGTACATTTCCAATCTGTTTTTTTTTTTAAATTCCTTTTTGATTCTGAACAGATCCAGAAAACAATAAAAAAGACAGCTCGCAGGGAGCAGCTGATGCGAGAAGAGGCTGAGCAGAAGCGTTTAAAGACTGTGCTGGAGCTGCAGTTTATTTTGGACAAGTTGGGTGATGATGAAGTGCGTAGTGACTTGAAACAAGGATCAAATGGAGTACCTGTACTGACAGAAGAGGAACTGACAATGCTGGATGAATTTTACAAGCTAGTTTACCCTGAAAGAGACATGAACATGAGGTAAGCTTAGAGGAAAGTACTTTCTTTATAATTGTCGTTCAGTTAATGATATTTATTTATTTTGTGATTAAATTACCACAAGCTTAGTAAGAAATTAACTCTTATTAATTTTTAAGGTTGAATGAGCAGTATGAGCAAGCATCTGTTCACCTGTGGGACTTACTGGAAGGGAAGGAAAAACCTGTTTGTGGAACAACCTGTAAGTATAGTCTGTTTGAAAGAGCGCACTGAATTTGTGCTTGTCCTAAATTACAGTGTCTGATGTAAAAGAATTCTGATAGTTAAATGTCTTTCCAGCATTTTATAGTTGCTGCTTTTTCTCAAACACTGCCTAGACTGTATTGAAATAACTCACTGAAGTACAAACTTTGTGTGTACGGTATTTTTTTTGCTGATGCAGCATTGCTCAGTATTTAAGCGTAGTCTATTCCTGCTGTTTCAGCAGTATTTAACTGCTGTTGATGCTTTGTAGCAATTCTTTGTTTTCTGGAAACGTTTGTATGGACCGGGAGCTTAGACAACAACATGATCTGTTACATATAAACTGGCATGACCTTATTTAGTGTGATATGTTATTCTCCCCAGTCCCTTCCTACAAAAACACTTTGTTTTTATTTTTGACCTAATTTTAAACAATTAACTAACTGTAAATTGATGCATGATTATTTGCTTTCATGAATAAATGTTAATTTCCACAAATACTTAGCTTTTAACATTATAACATTATATATTAAGAAAATGGCTGTGTTAGACAGTCACCTATTTCTTTTGAAGTCTCTTAGCTGGAAGGTTGTAGGGAAGATTGTCCTTCTTAGTTAAAACTGCTTTTCTGTTTTGCAGCTATGCTGCAGCAATTTTAAGCTTTTGGAAGAGTTTGCAGTGATCTAACTTACTTTACTGAGGAACAATACACAGAAGATTATAAAATATTTTGGCTTTAATGAATATAAGACTTTGCTTATTACTGTCAGAACAGGAAACCTCAAACCATTTACACAGTTAAAATGAAATTTCATGAGGAGATACCGGGTTTTTTTTTTCCCAGTTAATACAGATCTTTGAGACTTAAGGTTATTGCAGAACAAATGGTGTTGGATCGTTGTGAGAGCAGATATGTAGTATTTCTTTTTGGGAGAGAAAATAAGGGAAGAAAAAGTATGGGAGCAGCTTTCATGAGAGAGATGATGGTTGTGCCTTGGAGGCCTACTTGTTTTCTTACTGGATGTTAGGAAGCTGGCTGGGTATTATATCTGGATCTCAGGATGAACTTTTACTGTTGTCATGGGCGATATTAATGCATTTCTGTGTTCTTCTATGTGTATTGATTCATACAGTCATAATCATCACTTGCAAGGTATACACTGTGAATCTTCTGAGTCTGTTGCTTTGTTTTTTAATCTGTTTTGGGGGCCTAGACAGTAGGTATTGCTGCCTTTCCAATATGGCTGTACAAATTTATTCTACGCTAAAATGCTACTGTGTTCGTATGGGCATTGAATGCAGTGAAGGCTTGTTCTTGTTTCACTTGCAAAGCCTGTTCTGAGTCACTTCCCTCAGGGGAAGAATCTTTGTGGTGATGGTACCCAGGTAAATTAGTACTGACTGCAGTTGGAGAAATTGAATTGTTGTAAGGTTTCTTAATTAGGAAAGAAATGGGGTTGCAACTTCAGTGGGTTCCTAAAACTTCTCAGAGTCAAAACTAAACAACCAGAGATTTTTGAAATAGTAGTAAAAGTATACTTAAATTTGAAAACCTTACACTAATTTCAGAGTGTTTCATTAGTCTTACGAAGGGTGTTGCATATTCTTCTCTTTGCCCTTTCAGATTTTTGTCTGAATTAAAGCAGATAGTATGTTTATTGAATATGATCTAATAATACAGATGGAACACTACTGTTCTGTAACAGTAGTGTCTGTGGACAGGCAGCAACGTCTTCCTAGTGAAAGGGCAGTAAAATGTACTTGGGGTCTTTGGGGAGAAAGGGAAATGTGTAGGGTAAGGATTAGAGTTAGAGTTCAGTGGCTGTTAACTTCTTTTCTCAGATAAAGCCCTAAAAGAGGTTGTTGAACGTATTCTTCAAACTAGCTACTTTGATAGCACCCATAACCATCAGAATGGATTATGTGAGGAAGAAGAGGCAGCACCCACACCTGCAGTAGAAGACACTGCAGCAGAAGGTGGTAAGAATGTGAAGATCCACTGTTTTCTGGCATGTTTCTGCTGTACTGTCAAGTCTCTTTGGATTCATCAGACTAATTAAATTACAAATGTAATTTTATGTATTAAGTGTTTTGAATAGAAATGTAATTACTGGATTATCAGATACAAACAGCTGGGCAATATATATAGGGACAGTCAACCACTTGTTAGACCCTGTTCTGAGACATGAGAAAAGAAGAACAGAGCAGTGTTTCAGAAGAGTTCTGTAAGGGTTACTCTTGCTAGCTGCTATTCTGGAAGGACATAATCCTTTCTAATGATCACACTGTTAAATGTCCTCAGTTAACGCACAAGGGAAGGCTGGCTATTGTAGCTGTGGAGCATTAGCTGAATTGAGAAACAGTCACTTGGTAGGATTTCTTTTTGAACACATCCTTCAGCATTTGTCCAGTATGTCACTTGCTGAAAAAAGAACTGAAGCCAAAATGAAATGATTTAGAAGCAGTTTTGTGCAGATGAGAATTATTTCCAATCTTCCCTATTTTTTTCCTGTTGAACTTATACTTTACAAACTCTCAGAACATGTTGTTTGTAGTATTGGAACTATCAAAGATCTAAGTACTAGCTGCTGGAGCCTTTCCATTTTGCTGTAATTCCATCACTTAGTCCCTTTTTCGGAAGGGAAAAGTATTTGAAGTAGGGTATGTTTACATGCAAGGAATTCGAAAATGTGGTCCCATACTTGAAAAGATTCCTTTTTTTTTCTTTTTTTTTTTGCCCTTTTAAATATGCTGTGGAGGATAATAAATTCGGAGGTAACAGAATGTAATTCTTTATAGTAAGAGTTTTATGTGAGTTGTTACTTTGTTTTGTTAATTATTTTCAAAACTTCAGAAATCTTTGTTAGTGCTTAGTTCTCTGTTCTGACATTATTTTCTTCATTCTGAGAAAGATGCTTCTTATTTCATCTGCCTTTTATCATCAGGTTTGTTTCTGAGCCCAGCAGATACTATAGAAGTTATGTTAAGGCTCTAATTTCAGATCTAATCAGAATCCTATCTGCCTAAAGGTGTGTGATGAAGCAACTCTTTCCTTATTGTATAGCAGGCTTCTAATATTAGGTATTAACATAAGTCAGGTGTAAATGTGCATCTGTTCATTCTTACACCTAGTCATTCTTCCTGTATGCTAGCTATCTTCATGTCTTCAAAGTATGTTTTTGGTCATGTAAATCTAGTCTGTAATGTCTTGTGGGTTGTTTTTTGTTTGTTTGTTTTCCTTCACATAAATTGTCTATTTTTCTCATAGAACCTGATCCAGCAGAAGAATTTACTGAACCTACTGAAGTTGAATCAACTGAGGTATTACTCACTAGAAAGATTGTCATTTTATGCAGCTTTAATGCCACTTACTTTTACTTTCATACCCTTTCTTATTTTTATTTTAGTATGTAAACAGACAATTCATGGCAGAGACTCAGTTCAGCAGTAGTGAGAAGGAACAGGTAGATGAGTGGACAGTTGAAACGGTTGAGGTAAGATCTTGTGTACTGCAGGTAAAATTGTAACCCCTGTTTCCGCTGACTCACAGTTCATGATGAGTTATAGTATTTCACCCTCTCTCTTTTAACGTGTCTAAAAGTATATATTTAAATAGGCTTGAAATGACTACTCACTCTTCAATTGTATATTTAGCTCAGGAGTTAACTAAAATAAAAACAATGCAGCCTGGCTAAGTCGGTGGAAATCTTGTTCAGTAATGGCTTGTGGGGAAAATACAGGGTAAAGGTTTGGACTTTAAAAACAAATAAATAAAAAAAATGTAAGTCTTTTTGGAAGAGTTTTTTTCTGTTGGTTCTTCTAAGATGACTTTTGTGCCAATGTAGAACATAAGCTTATCTGCTGACAGCTTGGTGTAGTTGTTTCATTGTGCAGTTCCATAGAGATCAAGCGGGAAAATACCTCAGTTAATAGCTATTCCAAATTGCGTATACATGTATGTACATTTCTGCTTTCAAGAAATACAGTACTTAATATGTTTAACTCATTGCTACTTGGCAGTTGAGTGATTGTTTGGTGATTTTTTTTTTTCTGGTACGTTGCTGTTGGGATCTTTGTTCAGTGATTTAGGCTCTAGACTCAGCTATGCATACAAGTTGGCCGTTCTGTTATATTGAAGTCTGTGTCCTTCATGCATTGAAAAATCACATGGGGTCATTGAAGTGGTTGGCATGTTGGACCTTGGTTTGTATGTATCTGGTTAGGACCAAATATGAGCAACAACTTTCAGATGCTGGAGATTTACTTTCTGAGTCACCATAGTTTTCTGCAGCAGCAAATTCCAGAAGGTCACTTTTAAGGACTCTCTTCCTTGGTGCCTTTAGGTTCTTAAAGTGTTGGAGTGGAATAAAGTATTCATCATCTCTTCAAGTGATGAAAGAAAGAGGTGTTATTTGACATAATCTATTCTGCCTGATTTTACATTGTATTAATGCCATTATACATCAATTTCATTGTAGACCACTGAGAGATTTAATAATACTATAATAATAATACTACAATAATAATAATAGGATGGATGTGGTGAACTTCCTGTAACTAACTTGGCCACGTATGTGAAAGATACCTTCTCACACTATTCCATTCTTCCACTTAAACATACTCTACAATACCATTGCTGTTGAACATGGTTCAAGAAACCCTTTGAAAACTAGAGAAATCTTTCAGAAAGAACCATTCTAGGGATGTCAGATTGTGGTATTCATAGGAGACACAGTAGTTTAATGTTGAAGCCTGATTGGCTTCAGTCTTGATGCATAATCACATCTGTGTTTATACCAATTATGCAGTGTAGATCAGAGGTTTTCTGTAGTCCTTAAGGTAAGTAGTATGGATGAAGATATGAGAGTATAGGAATTGGCATTATGATTGAAGCTTGGTGTGCTTCCTTGAGCTCTTCAAGTATCAAGACTGCATTACACAGTAATAATAAACATCATAAATTTAATCTTTCTGTGGTATACTTTTCAGTTTGAGAGGTGACAATATCTGACATGATGTGGGCCTTCCATAAGTTCTAAATTAAAGAATTTCTTTTTGAATTCTCAGAAGTTTACTTTTCTTTGGATGTCTTCTATTGGTAACAGTGCTTTTTGTTGTTCCATGATTAATTTTTTTTTTCCTTCTCCTCTCTTTTGTAATAAGTACCCAAATCTGTGTATTCTAATATGTAAGTTATTTGAGGTTTAGAATATGGAATGTTGGATGAAGATGTATTGTGGGTAAATCTAGAAACTGTCCTGTGACTAACAAAAGGGACGGTTGTTTGGGTTGGTTTGTGGTCTTGTTAAGCTTCTGTTCTTTCATCACCTTTTGTCCTTTGTTGCCCCCCTCCATCATCTTAGTTAGCTCTGAATAGCTTGTCATACAGTTTGATGAGTCAAATATTACTACGCTGTGGAGAAATTCAGTTTCTTCTTGATGCTCTCTCTACCCTAGGATGAAGGGAGATATGCGGCTGGGTAATAATTTGCTTTTTTTTTTTTTTTATAGTAATGGTGCTTTTAAAGTTAATGATCCTTATGTTTGAGTAGTTTTCATGCAGCAGACTGCATTTAAATAGCCATTAACTATAGGGCTACAGCCTGTATATTGGCAGCTTAATAAGCAAAATTTAATATATAAGTTTAGTTTGTTAGGTTTATCCAGCTTTTAGGCTTATAACAGGGTAGAGTACTTGGTAGTATTAAGAAGACTAAATGAACAGCTTCCTTTAATGCTATGAGATTTGGAAGAAGCTGGAAAATATTAAGCGTCTTCTGAAGTTATGGCTGCATTATTTGTGAAAAAAAAAACAGATAAAATTATTCCTGTTCTGTGTTTTTTATTATTGCAACAGCTGTTTTTTTCATGAAGATATTAAATGCTTTTGAGTGATTTGGACTTTATAAATGGAGTGATAACATTTTCTAGTAGTAATTACATTGATGGTGAGTAGCTGCTAGTTTTCCTCCTGGGTTCCATTCCAGTCATCTGGCTGACTTTTTTCCTTTCATTTCATTTCAAAGCTTTGTAATATGAAAACACCATGTATGTACTGTAGATAACATTTTCAAAAATACTTTTTTTCATTCATGGGGCTTTCTTATTTGTCAGTAGCCCATAGTTAGCAGTTGGGGGATGATAGTGTAATAGACTGGAGCTGTCACGCTTGTTTTCCAGTGTTGACAGCCTTAGGATATACTTCCATGGGAATTCTCCAAAGAATTTCTCACTGTATGGCTAACAGCAGAGAGCTCAGTATGAAGGGACTCTCAAAGAAGTTGTAGCTGGCCTTTACATTTGTCAAAAGATTTATCTTTTATTTTAATCACAGGCTGTTAGGGAGTTGGTAAAGAAAAGATCCACTGCAGTTTGTCAGATGCTTACGTGTGCAAAATGTAACATGAGAACCATGCATACCTGAGCAAGGGATGGTCGTGTGGGAAGATACATGAGGTTTCTTTGAGAAGTTTTCAAAAAATAAATTCTGGGCTATGAAGATGGATTGAGGGAGCTCAAGTTTAAAGTTCAGACCAGTGATAATAGGACAGGTCTTCTGCCTCACCGTGACTGCTGTACAAAATGTCTTCTGAAAGTCTTGTGAGAATCCAGCTGTTTTAGGTAAATTTAATTATTTTGAACTTCAGATGCATATATGCTAATTTAAATCCTGTTCTACTGTAAATATTAGCTTTGCTTGTATATTTAGAAGATGATTATTAGTTAAGCTCATGGGAGTAAAGAAGCAGTAGACAAGTTCTTGACAATATCTTCTAAAAGGATATTTGTTGATGTGAACACAGATTGCAGATATTGTTTCTGTATTATGGGAGTTACCTAAAAAGCAAAACTGGTTAGAAAAGCAGAACTGCTACAACTTCTTGTGCACTTCAATCATCCTTGTAACAATCTGTTTTTAAACTACTTGATGATGGCTATGTTTACAGGCTCATACTCAGCTTTCCTGGTTGCTCTGTTACCTTCAGTATGGTGGTATTGGAAAGCTTCTAGCTATTTGTCTTCTCTTTGTTTACATTTGACTGGTAAATGCTGTCTGCTGTTCTGTTTGAGGAAGTTCTTACTGTTTTTCAGTCTCTGAGCTTTCTTGACTGCTGGGAGTTGTGCTTCAGGGCTTGTCTTGCAATGTTTCCACCAGGTGATGCAGTCTGCTGTTCTCTGAGACCATAAATTAGTTAAGCTATTACCCTAGTTAAGGGTAATACTTGAGAAAGACATAGGCATGGACTTGCAAGTTCAGACTGTTTACGTTTACTAAAAAGGTATAAGAAAATAACTGTTCCACGTGTTCATCTTTCTGAAACTTACTTTTCCCTGACTTTCTTTGAACTTCCAAGATAACTGATTTTGTTAAATCCCATTCTAAAAAATACTTATTGGTACTGTTTTAACATTATAGATGAATCTGTTTAATGAGGAATAGATGGGAAGCAGATAAGATGCAGTCTAAGCTTTCAAACCTTATGAATTGTACAGATCACTTCTCTTGGAGACTAAGATTTTTCTTTAAGAATGTTATAGTAACTATGTCCATAGTGAATAAATGTTTCTTGTATTATGCACTACTGTCTCAATTGTTTCTGTGCATTGTTATGTGAAGCTGAAATTTCAGCTAGTTGTTTGTTTCTTACTAGGTTGTAAATTCACTGCAGCAACAAACACAGGCTACATCTCCTCCAGTTCCTGAACCTCATGCACTCACTACTGTGGCTCAAGCAGATCCTCTTGTTAGAAGACAGAGAGTACAGGACCTTATGGCCCAGATGCAGGGTCCATATAACTTCATGCAGGTATGGTGAAGCTCCTATGGTATTCACAAATGAAAAAACAAAATAGTTCATTCTGTCTGGCTTCTAGTTATTTGAAGAGCCTGGTGTAGATTAGCTGAAAAATACAAATGGTTTTACAGACCTCACAGTGCTGTATGGCCACAAAAGCCACAAACCTGTATTGCTGTTAGAGTAGAATGAAAATGCTATTAAGCTTTTCATTTTTTGTCCTCAACAGAGGAGGAGAAAAGCTGTGGACATAGGACTAGATACTGTATTATGCCTAAGTGAGACAGCTATAAAACAGCCTTTCTTTAAGCCAGCTTAAAATTTGGTGTTATGAAATAATGCTTTCAGACTCCAGATAGTTTTTTGGAAGCTTTCTAAAACAAGGCTTCCTGAGGTTTCTAGTATCTTCTAACCTTTAAAATTGCAACTCAGTAGAAACGCATTGGGAATTAAGTGAATGTATCAGAAAAAGCTTATCTTCTATTCCATAAGGAAAGAATAATAAATGTGATAACAAACGAGGCATATGCTTAAGTTTGTTGGGTTTTTGGTTTGGTTTGTTTTTTTTTCCTACAAAGTGAAAATGCTAATTTTGGGTAAAGAATAAAGATCATCTCCTATTCTTCCTGACTATTCTTCTTGCCTCTAGTTTTTATTCTGTGAAATAAGCTCTAATTTATGTATGTGGGCTGAATTTTCATTTTGATAAATATTTTTGGAATTCTTAGTATCTTATTTTAAAATATATGGCAAAATAGCTATTGCCTAACTGTGGGCCTAGGCTTCCTTTAATGTGACCTGGTCATTTTTAGAGTCTAAACACTGAATCTTTTAAAAATCCAATAAACTGGATTTCATTCTTGTATTACTGTTTCTGTTCCAAGGACTCTATGCTGGAGTTTGAGAACCAGACACTTGATCCTGCCATTGTATCTGCACAACCCATGAATCCAGCACAGAATTTGGACATGCCGCAAATGGTCTGCCCTCCAGGTTTGTAATGGAAAATACTAAATATAAATAATGGGGAAGCCTGCAAGTCATCTATTAGAAATGTTTCAGTTACTGTTACGTTGAAGGGATCATCATGAGTAGTATAGCAGTATGTTTTAGGTGTGTTTCAAAGACATTTGATTGTACTTCTGAGGTATAGTGTTAATAGACTTCAGATCTTCACTTACTGCTAGTTGGAACATATTAAATTTTTTTTAATGGGTGAAATATATTTTTGCTTCATCTTTTGGAAACTGCTGGGTTATTTTGGATGCCTGAGGGGAAAAAATATATTTTGTATGGAGAAGATAATTGATATTTCAAATGTAGCTTTGCCAAGCTAGGAAAATACTTATTACTATGATGAGGTCTCAAATAACTGAATTTGATAAGATTGTAATGCTATTCTTTAAGAGGTTTTAGTGTACCATGTAGTAAGTGAAATTATTTTATTTCAGTTCATACTGAGTCAAGACTTGCCCAGCCTAATCAAGTTCCTGTGCAACCAGAAGCTACACAGGTAAAATGTTTATTAAATTGTATTTTGTTGTTAAAATTTAATTTAGTTTTGCTTAGTGTTACAACAGGATATACGTAATTCCTATCTATAGCAGAAACGCAAAGCTGAAGTTCAAAGGTGATCTTTGTTAAATTGTTATTATTTTATTTAGAGGAAGCACTGTTTGGAATGCTGCTGTCATTCTACTACATATAGTTTAAGATTTCTCTTCATTCTCTTCAAGATGGATTAATAATTTGACATGTCAATCTTCGCCTTGTAAGCTGTGTCAAGTAGTATTTTTAATTTAGATAAGCAAATAAAAAGTCATATGCTTTTATTTACAACAGAAATGGCAAAGAACAATCACGGTCTGTATCTGTTCAAGTGATGATCAGACTAAAAGCAGATTTTATAGCTTAACCAAATAAGTTTTGTTTTTGTTTTTGACTTGTTCTATTAAGAATTCATCCCAGTTGCTTACTTGGATAATATTCAATACTGGACTGGATTTAGAGAGCAGTCAGTAAATTTAAATGCTGTTTTCAGTTGAGCTCCTGCATTTCCTGTTTAAGTAGGGTTGCTTGTTTCTGCAATACATGCATTATATATTCTCCTTTTCTTCATGATGTGTCAGTTTCTTACTGAATGGTCTAATGATAACAAAAGTAATGAATAAGAACTTCCTGATTTTTCTGTTAAGTATGTATGACATCTCTGGCGTTAAGGCAGATGCTTGTCCAGCTGATTAATAAGTACCCACAGAAGAAAATTTGGTAGGGAGTGGGTGATACGATGAGTCAGGCTATGTCAAGATGAGGTGGCTGGAGCTCTGCTAATCAAGAAGCAGTAAATTTTTAATGGTTATAAAGTTTTGCTGAATACACAGTTCTACTAAAAGAGTACCTATAATGTATTCCAGAGTTCTTAGATACCTGTGATACAAGTATCTGTGAGCATCAGTTGACTTGGAGAACTTTTGGTTTTTATTTTGTCAGGTTCCCTTGGTTTCTTCTACAAGTGAGGGATATACAGCCTCCCAACCCATGTATCAGCCTTCTCATAGCACAGAGCAGCGGCCACAGAAGGAATCAATTGACCAGATTCAGGTAAGTCTGATTTCACAGGGGTGGGAATGACTGTTTCCAGATGGGATCAAATATTAATCTTTGTTTATTTGAAAATCAATAGATTTTGTGATTTCATTTATTGACAGGGCTGGTTCAGTTCCTTATAAATTCAAAGTTTTGAATCCATTTGTCATTAATAGTGAAATGTTCACTTTCTGAAATTAAACTAAGGTCTTTGTGCTTGTTTTCTTAACATTCTCAATACTATTCAAAAGCTACTAAAACGTTGTTTGTTTTAATTACTAGGCTTCAATGTCACTGAATGCAGACCAGACCCCGTCATCATCATCACTTCCCACTGCATCCCAGCCGCAAGTTTTCCAAGCTGGATCTAGCAAACCTTTGCATAGCAGTGGAATCAATGTTAATGCAGCTCCATTCCAATCCATGCAAACAGTAAGTAGCAAACGAATTCTGAATTACTTTATTCTGGTAGTCATTCCCTTTGTTGTTTTTTACAGTGTTGGAATCAGTTATGTAATTGCACAAAATAGTCTTCGGTTATCCTCATTTCAGTCTTGCATTATTTCTGTAAATTATTCTGATGAGAATTTATTTAAAAAATGGATTGGAACAGAGAGCTATTTTTCTAACATTACAGGTATTCAACATGAATGCACCTGTTCCTCCTGTTAATGAGCCAGAAACCCTTAAGCAACAAAATCAGTACCAGGCCAGTTACAACCAGAGTTTCTCCAATCAGCCACACCAAGTAGAACAATCAGATCTTCAGCAAGAACAGCTCCAGACAGGTAAACTAATTTAGAGAAAATTAAAATTGCAATAGCTTCAGTAGAGCAGATAATAAAGGCTGTGAAGTCTTAAGATATGTAGCAAAGCATGTCACACATTCTTGAATGCTACTTGTTTTGCAAAGATGCTTACCCCTCTGGACAATGTCTATGATTTGTTGCTTTGTTTTGCAGCCTATATATATATAGGTTTGAAAATCACAAACAAGATTAAGGATTATTTTTGAGACGAAGGCAGTAGAGTACTTGCTCTGCTGATGTTAAAATTAAATGATTCTTAAATATGCCATAAAAAGGAAAAAAAAAAAAAGGTTGTACTATTTCCTAAGAAGGTAATAGTAAGCTACAATTGAGAACAAATATAGATTGGTTCTCACAGATCGCTGAAAGTCCAGAAAAATCTAGAACCTTCTACTAAAAACATTAGGCATAGTTTGAATACAGCAATCAAAGTCTTTCCAAGTTATCAAGTTGAAAATAAACTATATTATAGAGTCTTCGTGCAGTGCTGTTCTTGCAGCCCACCTCTTACTTGACACTCAGATAAAACGTGTAGATGCAGAGGGGGGTTTCATGGTACGGGACAGAGATGACAGTGGTGAAGTGCTGAAAGCTACTGGAGGTGTAGAGTAAGGAAAAAATGTGATCCTTCTTCGCAACTGATTATGGTCTTGAATCTTGTCTTTCCTGCAAGCTAGGGTAAAGGTTGTGTGAATGAGAAGAGGGAGAACCAGATTTTCACTGTTTCCCTTGTACACTGTATAGCTCAAAAAAAAAAAAACAACTAGAAAAACAATCTGGGGAATGGTGGTGTTGAAGGTGAGCCGTGCAGTATTAAGTGTTTAAGTTTATATAGCAGTTAAGTAAATGTAACTGATGATATAAAAAAAAATTACAGTGGCTTTAGAACAAAACCTGCCCATAGTAAAAAGCCCTAAAGGATGACCACTTGTTTCTGTTGTTGTGGAATGCATGGAGGTTGGGGAGACAGAGCTATACAGAACTTCATAGCACTGTGTGGCTAAATGAGGTTGAACTTAAGTATTATTTTGTGTTGAATAATGAAGCCTTGCTTTTCTGCATGTGAAATGGGAGGGAGAATCTTATCACTTATATGTTGAGATCTTGCTTTAACAATTGGTATCAAACTAAAATTTATAGCTCTTTCACTCTTAGATACTGAATTCCATCTATTATTACACTTACTAATAAGCCTATAATCCTTGGATTGTGTTCGTAGTCCATTTCTGACGATTCCTGTGATGTGAAGATAACGTGGCATACCTTTTTTCAAGAAGCAGATAGTCTCAAGCTATCTGTCCAGCTTTTGCTTCTTGGTTTACATGTCCTGTAGAAGGAAAGAACCCCCAACCTGTACAGTCAAAATGGCATCTCTGTTAAAACATTCCCACAATCTCACTTTCAGTCAACACAGCTGTGCCTAGTAGAGAGAATGTAGAGTGATTGCAAATATTTTTTAGTGGCTGTCTGTCAGTTCAGAGGGAAGGAAGCTCTAGAAATGGGCCAGCTCACATTATTTTTTTTGCAGAGAGTGTGTGTGTGTGTTGGTGATTTTTTAAAGGAATTGAAATGGTGCACAGAAATGTTACCTGCATTAGGAATATTTGTTGCTGAGCTTAGGCCAGAGGTTTCTTGGCATTGACTCAATCTAAAATGGTACAGAGCTGATTTACCTTCATTCTCAGATATCTCACAGTATTAAATTTGACACAACTCTGCAGATAAATTTTCTTTCAGTGGGTAAGCATACATTGATGTGTTCAGGGGTACTTCAAAGCTTTGTATATTGAGTTAGAAGATGAGCATATGTGGGAATGTCAATGCAGAAACTCAGGATTCTGTACTGTACTTTTTCCTCACTTCAAATATAGTGGTTGGTACTTACCATGGTTCTCCGGACCAGACCCATCAAGTGGCAGGAAACCATCAGCAACCTCCCCAACAGAATACTGGATTTCCACGGAACAGCCAGCCTTATTACAACAGCCGGGGAGTGTCTCGTGGTGGATCACGTGGGACTCGCGGCTTGATGAATGGTTACAGGGGACCTGCAAATGGATTTAGAGGTAAACAGCTCAAATAAACAGAGTTTCATCTTCCATCATATTGAGAATGGGTTTGATTATACGGAAGTAAAAGAAGAGAAATGTAAAAGTCATTACTCTGAAGGAATTAACAGGAGCAGAAGAATGATACGGTAGTTCTGGATGGCTGAAAAAAATAGTCATGGAGATTATTTTATGTGGCTTTCAGAGTTGCAGAGAGTGCATGTTACAATAGGAAAGATGCAGTTTCTTTTTTGAGTGATAGGGGAGTTAGACTAGTGCCCTTTTCTCATCCTCTTATGTCACTGGAGTATTGTGTTCACCATTTGTCTGTTTAAAATCAATCTGGATTCCAGATTTTAGACTTGGGTCTGAAACTATTCTTGGGCTTGTTTCCTGCCTCTCAGGAAAACCTTTGCTCAGAAGCAGTTTGAGTTGGCAGTTCTGACCTTGCAGGCTGCAGCTGTCAGATTTAGATCCTCATATTACATTTAGCTTTGGATTTGTTATGTAAATTAAATCTCAAAATACTGGAGAAATGCACATAATGGTTTTCTCCTCCCAGCTGTTACTAGATATTCATTCGTGTTTCTTGTAATAGTATTACCACTGATGTTGCAAACACTTGCTTGACTTGCAGAAACAACTTCATAAATGTTTTATTTTCCCTTAGATTTAGGTTAAAAGCTCTTTATGTTACCATATAAAGAAAAGCCTTGTGTAACAGGCTGTCATTTCCAAGTGAAAGACTTGTATATTTTTCCTTAGGAGGATATGATGGCTACCGTCCCTCATTTTCCAACACTCCGAACAGTGGTTACACGCAGCCCCAGTTTAATGCTCCTCGAGATTATTCGAACTACCAGCGGGTAAGATACAAGAAAAATGCATGCATTTGCAAAAGCACAAGTGCAAGTTAATTAACGAAAAGTTTTCCTATGATATTTTTATCGCTCATAAGACAGAAGTTACAGATGCATAGAGATAGCAGAATTTGAGATAGCTAGTTACGATTGGGAGAACTGTTTGGCTGTGCGGTCTCTGAAGTAGCTAAAGCAAAGTTAGTTGAATTATTAAAAACAGCTTCATGAGGAAAGGCACAGAACTTAAATCCATTGAAATGAACTTCTCAGGCTTGTAAGGGGCTGCCTGTCTTCAGCATTTCTGATATGTTATTCTGAAACATGTACAGAAATACATTATTCTGTAGGAAACATACAGTCAGCTCAAAACTTAGTCTGACTGACTGGAAAATGACTGCTCATCCTCAAACTTGTATTCATAAACAGATTGGATGGCTAATTTTGATACTGGCGTTAGAATCTTCATTTTGTTGACTGGTCCTGTGGGAAACCCATCTATTTGACCTCTGTGTAGTTTGGAAAAAACTGAACACTAGTTCTATTTGCATTTATTACTGATATTGAAGAAAATATCCTGTAATTAGACAAAGAATTTATTATTTTACGTTATTATAGCTGCTAGATACTGGTAAGAGTAAGAGTGTGTTTTCCTCGCATGAATTAAAACGAACAGAATGCAGTATGCTGAAGTCACAGGTGCTTCATCAATGTAGATTGTTTTAAAAGCTCTTTATTTTACTGGTAACTATTAAACCAAGAAAATGTGCATGGTTTATGTCATAACTTTCCCATTTTTATGCTTCAGGATGGATATCAGCAGAACTTCAAACGTGGTTCTGGACAAAGTGGGCCTCGGGGAGCTCCTCGAGGTAATTCCTGAGTAGTGTGTACTTGATTTGAGCTGAATGGAATCTTTTGATTCAATTTCTGGAGTTCTGTATTAAAAAAGCAACCTCAATCCTTATTCCGTAGATCACAGTTGAAGAATAGGCTTTCTTTTCTCTGACTTCATAGTTGACTCAGCTTTGGAAGGAGGACCTCTTGAGGTCCCTTCTGTCTTGAGTTACGCTGTTATCCTGTGAACTACTTGCAGAAGTTTAGTTGCCTGTTGAATGGGGAATTATTTGAGAAAAAAATTAAAAAGACATTTGTTTTTGGTGCTTTAAATGTGGCAGATAATAATGAAGAACTTAGTGATTTTTTTTCCTCTAGATTTCTCATTACTTAAGATCTGCTTAGTTAGATGCATGAGTATTTTGTAAGTAAAATTTGTTAGTAAAGCAACCACCTGGCTTTAGCTGGCTTTCAGCCTTCAGAATTGTGTTTAACTTTCCAGTAGGAGATGAATTACTGTATCTGTTGCAAGGACTTTTTTTTATCTAAGGATACAACATTTTATTCTCTTCCTTGATCCTGAAGAATTATTGCATTTAGGAGTGGAAACATTTTATCCTGTAACTTTTTGGTAGTGTTTGCCATGTGTTCATCTCAGGAAACAAACAAAAAAGTGTACTCATGAGGCCTCCAGTTGAACTTCTAGATCTTACTTTTCTGCAGTGTTTTCCACAGTTCTTTTCTAATAGATTTTTGGTGATGAGATGATGTTCTGTCTTATACAGACATTTTAAAGCTCTCTGATTATAACTTAAGATTCTCATTATCTTTGAGGAGGCTGCACTTAGAGTTCTGTTCTTGACTTTTGGTGCTGAAGGCACCATCCTGTGAAACTGTGGCTTGGAATTAAACCTAGTGTGAGGCTGTTGTGAAGCTGAAAGCATTGTATAGAAAGCTCAGCTATAATGAATAGTCTTGTTGTTGTTTGTTATCACTGATGTGTGGCTGACAGAGAAATTCACCAAATGACCAACAGTTCAAAGAATCACAGAATGGCCCGAGTTGGAAGGGACCTCAAGGATCATGAATCTCCCAATGTCCTTGCTACCAGCCTCCCCATTTAATACTAGACCAGGCTGTCCAGGGCCCCATCCAATCTGGCCTTGAACACCTCCAGGGATGGGGCTTTCACAACCTCTCTGGGCAGCCTGTTCCAGCACTTCACCACTTTCTCTGTAAAGAACTTCTCCCTGATGTCCAACCTAAATCTTCCCTCTTTCAATTTGAAACCATTTCTTCTTATCCTGCCATTATCTACCCTTTCAAAGAGTTGACTCCCTTCCTGTTTATAGGTACTGAAGGCTGCAGTGAGGTCACCCTGCAGCCGCCTTTTCTCCAGGCTGAGCAAGCCCAGCATCCTCAGCCTGTTTTTGTGGGGGAGGGTGCTCCAGCCCTCTCATCATCTTTGTGACCCTCTGGATCCAGCAGCTCCCTGCTCTCATACTGTGAGCTGCACACAGTCCCTTTCTTAATTAAGAAAGAACGGTGGAAGTAAAAATGTGATTAGTTAGCTTGCAGTATTTAAAACTGCAGTAAGCCAATGATTGTTTCACATAACTTCGAAACTTTTAGTTTCAATCTTTGTATCTCGTGACTAATTTTTTTCATTTTTAGTTGAAGTGGTTATAGCTTCATAGTTTGGGGGGAAAGGTATTGAGATAAAGATGAAAACTGTAAAGGCAGGCTGTATACTCTTGAATTCTGATGTAAAGATACTTTGAAAAGCATCTGCAGCCCAAATACCTAGTTTAGAGCAGAGCTTGTGGTTTTTTGGTTTATTTTCTGGTGGTGATGGTGGTTGTTTCTATTTTGTTTCCTTGCATAATTCCAGTGCCTCTCAAATATTTTCTAGGTCGTGGAGGACCCCCAAGACCAAACAGAGGGATGCCTCAAATGAACGCTCAGCAAGTGAATTAAACAAATTCACAGGATTATGTGAAAACGCCAAAAACACACTGGCCAGTGTACTATACATGTTACCAGAAGAGTTATCATCTATTTGTTCTCCCTTACAGGAAGTTTGTTGTAAAGGGACTATTTTCATTACCCATAATGACAGGACTACAGTTGCCAGCTTTATGTTACCTGGATATGGAAAGAAACGAAACAACGTTTACTCTGCATGTTCTGTCCTAAGCATCATCTTGAGCCTTGCACATGAGATTCAGATTCCTCACCCTTGCTAAGAATAATGCAAAAAAGGCAATTTTCAGGGTGATCCAGTCTCTCCATGGTTAACTGAAGTGGCAGGAAAAAGCAAAGACTCACTTCTGATATTAAAAGTGATGCAACAAATTTGGATATAATCTGCAAATTCATAAAGAATTACTGTGGTGGCAAAACCTAATGTGACGAAACTTAATGTTCCCATGAAAGGATTGAAAAAGTGAAGTGTGGCTTGGTAGAGCAACTGCATTTCAGCTTTTTCATATTAAACTGAAGCACTGAACAGTTAAAGATGTGTAGCAATGCGTATTTCCCTAAGCAGGCTTATAGCCAGTTTTTGACAAAGAAGAAGCGCCCTTAGCTACAGCGCTGCTCGTCACCAGGGCCCCGTTTACTGTGGCTAAGGATTTAAGATCGCTTGCATAACTGCTAATGTTATTGTGTAATTTTTTTTCAAGAAAAAAGCTTTGATTTGGCACTTCAACAAAATTTTGCAACAGATGCGAGTTATAATCTGGATGGCCACTGTATATTTGATGTGAAGTATTTAGATATCTCTTTGAAACACATTTAAGTTTCTTTGATAGCAATGACTTTTGTAAGGATTGGTACTCTCTATCATTCCTTATGACTTGCACATTGTCTGTCACTAATACTTCACTTTGCTGTATTATCACCTAAATAACTGATGCCGGTACTGATGGAAATCTCTAATGGATAATCATAACACTTTTGGTCACATGTCCTTTTGTCTTTCCTGCAGCCTTGAAGGTTTTAAGAAATCTCAAATGCCCGCTGCTGCTGCCCTTTTAATTGCTATCTTTTGAAAAGCACCAGTATGTGTTTGAATTGATTTTCCCCTTTTAAGGGAAATGACAGCCAGCAGTTACAGTTCTAATGGTATAAGCAAGACAAATAAAACATGTTTATAAAAATTGTATCCTGAACACTGGTTTTCAGCGACTGAAACAAATCTAATGTAACGGGTTTACGCTGCATAAGGTTTTCTTTTTTCAATGAAAGATTTTCCTGAATAGTTGTCAAACTCCCGTTTTCTCATTTGATTCTGATATCTGTGACATCTAGGAAATTTTTCTTCTTGTGGAGACTTTCCTTTTCATCAAGGCAGCAATGTCTAGAAGAAATGGCATAAGACTAGGAGCTGGAAATTACCAAGTTTTACTCAAGTTTTTACTGTATACTTGTGGTATAATCTTTGGGAAATCACTTGTGCCTAACTTTTGCGCACATGCACTCTCTCTGCAGTGGGGAGAATATATTGATAGCTGCCTCCATAGAGGTGTTGGTAGTTTTGTTGCATTTATAGCATGTGCAAGAAGAAAAGCGCTGTGTTGCTCATCGTATAATTCCTGCGTGTGGAAGGGTGACGTTAAGGAACAGCTACCCATTGCTTACCTGTTACATACAGAACTGAAAGTTGTTTTTGCTGAGAGGTTTGCCCAGAGGGACATTTCTACTTTGTATGACAACTGAACTTTCAGAACAACTTGTATTTTTTGACTTCATTGCTGAATAGTGCACACAAATAGGTGGTAATGTCACTTTTCCATCTTACGTGTGAAGAGCACAAACAAGAAAAGTTTTTACTGAGGAGCGATAAGCTTTTGAAGACAATGCTACACAGAAAACATCTTGAAACAATGCTGATGGCTAGAAGCACAGCAGTTGTAGTCAAGGCTTAGGAACATTCCAAGCCAGTGTAAAGATAAAACCTGCAGTCTGGTAAGAAGTTGCTGTTCTGTGTCTTTTTTAGGAAGCTGTTACTGAGCTAATAGTCCCAATTGTTTTTTTTAACTGGAAAAAAAAAAAATAAAAAACAAACCTTTTAATGCTGAACTGATGTAGGAAACAGTGATTTTTTTTTTCTTCTTGTGTGCATCAGCTTACTTTGAAATGGTTGGTAGAATATAAGCTATTCAGCCTTTTCTGTTGCACACCAAATGGAATTCAATAGCTAATTGTAGTTGGATAGTAAACTTGCAGCATACTGAATTAAAGACCACTGAATTGATCAGAACATTCCACTTAAGTTTTTTTTTTTGAAGCATAATTTAAATTTATTAATAAAACATGGGTGTTTGAGAGGCCTCTTATTTGAGATGCAAAGTTGTAAGCCTTTTCGTGTATGAAAATGGTCTTTAGAATAGCTGTTCTACTGTATGCTGATAGAGGGAGATGTGTAACGATAAATAACTATAAAACAAGTACTTAATACATGTTTAATCTGGGAATTTGCACTGACTCCTTTAATCTCAATACATGCAGCTAATAAACAGTATACTGAAAAATTGCCTCGAGTCACAGTATGGCACACAGATTCATTAACTGGTTTTCTGGCCTGTTCAGGGGGTCTGTGAGTCAACCTTATGGTTGACTGTAAAGGTCCAGCTTGTTTTCTTTGCTTGGTCTGCTGCAGTGCAAGTGTGGAGCTACACGTTTTAAAGAACTGTATTTAGAGAGAGAACTTTAGAGCTTTTAAGTACCTTCACTGCTTAGATTACTTCTAGATATGAGCTGCATTCAGATCAAAAGTAATTCTAGATCACTTTCATTTGGGGAAAAAGAAATCTCTCTTCTGAACATGGAACAGTTACAAAAAGTGATGGTAAGCAGGTGAAATAGGTAGCAGTTCTGGCCTGGTTCTGTTGTAGAGCCCTTTCTTTTCATACCAGGGGCAAATATCATACTTCTGAGCCTGTATATAAATACATCAATTGCTCTCATGGTGGTTTACTTGATTCTTCTCTGAATTAGTTTCTTCAGAGCATTACAGACAAGTAATGACTGCCTTCTGGGATGTGCAGCTATTACAAGAGAGGTGTTTTTATTCTAAGCTGGGACTGCATTATCTAACAAAGTAAGGATGTGATAACATACAATGTGTTTGAGAACCAGCTTTTAGCACTGCAGTATGTAATAAAAGGATTCTTGAAGTAAATCACCTGTTAGGTGGCTCCAGAGTTTTCCAGATATTTCTACCTAATGTTACTGTATCTGGGACGCTTCGGATCTTTCTGGACATGCTATGTAACTTAATCGTGAGCTGCTTGTCGTACCAAGGTCAACCTTGTCCTACATAGTTCTCCATGTGTATTGGCTCTCTTCTAAAGAACATTCCACCAATGCAAATTTTGGATTTTGCGATGAAGTTCGTTCTTCTTAACTGCCATTTTTCTTTCCAGGGTATTGCAGTAAAGTATTGAAGTCTTATGACTGGACATCATCTAGAGTAGCTGCAAGAATGATATTGATGGCTGGTTAATAGCTAATGATGTATTCTGCTGGGTCTTTGTAACTTTCAGAGAATTTCATTACCTTACAAGTCTTCTCAATATGTCCTGAATACCTCGTGTTTTAGGCAGATTATTTGATTGGGTTTGAGGTTACCTTCATGTACACTGCCACTGTAGAATGGACGAGCCATCCTCTCCCCAAATGGCATTTAAATAATTAGGTGTTGAAATGACTTTAACCGTAGGCAAATATTCAAAGTGTAATAAATAATACTGAGAAAGCAGTAACTTCCTGTGATTAATTGCAGATAGGGCAAAAACTTTGTAATCCAGCAAAATAAGGTAAATGATCAGAAGAGTCTTGACCTTCCTGGTCTGTATTTTGAAGGTCTGGCAGTAGCCAAACTAAGTAGCTGACTTTTTTTTTTTTTTTTTTTTTACCATTTCTTTGCAAGAATAATTCATTATAAATGCTCATCTGAGATGCAGATGTTAAGTGTCGGGAGGAAAAATTGTGCGGTATTCTTCAGATTTCTTCTTATTTCAAGTCTGCTGTAAATATAAAGGGATATGAGGAAGCTGCTCGACATTTAATTCCATTAATAAGACTGTCAGAGTCACATCTTGAAAAATAAAGCTCCTTCCTCTTATCCATGCAAAACTCATCTTGCAACTAAATGAACAGAACTGCCTCAGTCTTTCAGATCTGTGCACGTCTTTTTACAGCGTTCCATGTGCATTCAATGTGGAATAAATGAAAGCATTTAATCATTTGTGCTGGCACCATCACTTCTGCAGATAAGATGGGTAGTTATCTTTTACCTTTGAGTGACCTGAAAATCAGTGCTTTGTCTGAGAAGCAAGCAAGAAATTGTCCTAAACAGGAAAATTTTTCTTTTGAACTTCAAAAGATAAAGGTTTTCTTTTTAAAACATGAGCTTAAATATAGTTATGATCATCTTCCGGAAAATGCATTGCAAAACTGTTGCAGTATCCTTGTAATTCTTTTTGTAAATTATAAAACTAATTATTCCATCACAAGATCAGAAGCTAAGTGGGCAATTAGTCTCATACTAATATCAGATTTCTTATGTTCAGCAGCAGAATTAAGCACAAGGAGCTTTCATATTAACTTCAGCAAAATTCCATTGTTTAATGTGAGATTGGCATACTATATGCTCATGAAGAAAGGTAATGACTTAAACTACTTTTGTTTGGCCATTATGTTTTTTTCAGAGGGAGAGGGGGAAGGTCCGTAAAACTCTCCCACTTGCAACTACTTGCATTCTCTGGAAATAAATGTTTTTCATCCCAATCAGCACATCGTCTAAGATGAAATAAGGATGATTAAACAGCCAGGTGCAGTGCTAGGGATTGATATTGCATTCAAATCTAACGTTAAAGGTAAGCAATGTAATCTGAGGGGAAAGCTGTAAGTGAACTTTTAAAGAAATTTTGTGTCTCTTCCTGTGCCTGAAAGAAAGCCCTGACCCTCATCTACTTCTTTCCAGATTTAGAAGCAGCATCTTAGATTTCTGTCTCAAACTAGATATGTTGAATTTCTAGTGTGGTATCATAAAGCTTCTGGTAACCCGGAGACTGATAAGAAACTAATTTTCTAAATGGTTTATTTAAGAGAAGAGGTATTATTCTATTCATTTTCTTAGGCTTTTTGAATATGATGTAATTAATGTTATTTGTGATTCTGTAGCTCTGGCATTAATGGAAGGAAGGAAAATTGTTTCTCAGATTCACATCACAAAGCCAACTTGAGCAGTGTTTCAGAGAACTGTATTAGCAAAACGACATTCTAACTTGACAGTTGTGGCTGTTTGAGTGAAATTGATCAGTGTTAGCTCTTAGTGGGATAATAGCTGCACCAAAAGTTACGTTTCTTCAGCCCTCATCTCCCCTGTTCCTTCATGTTCATGAAATAACCAGGCAGGTGTAACTAGCTCAGACCAACTATGATGTCCAGTTTCTGCTTTGTATAAACGTGCTCAGATACCTAATTAATGGATCAAGAGTACACTGATTTTTTTTTGTATGCATTACACTTGTACTAAATGAAAACATACTGATTTTTGAGGCTATTCCATTTTAGAACAAACTTTAGTAATGCATCTACTGCACAAAGTGAGTCCTCAGCCTTACCTTCTGGTTAACTTGCAGGTTCTGATTTTCTGATGGCCTCAAACATCCCATGTCTTCACAGTTCTTCACCTCTCCATTTAAAACAACCTGGCTCACGGCTCACGTGAATGAATAATTTCAGTGTTTTGTGTCCTTTTAAGCACATAACCCGTACCTATCCCTTAGGAACTGCCGTGCTGTGCTTCTGTTGCGTTGGTGATTTTGTTTGAGTACCTGGCTTCGCCTCAAGGTTTGATCGACAGCCGCAGCTGTGTTTTTACCCAACGGCACAGCTTGAGCGTTACTTTTATTGAGAAGCACGGCAGCTGACGTTGCCTAGGCTCTAACAGCTCGCTGTGGGACGATAACGTAGCACGCAGCCCCGTTATTCTGCTGCGCACGCGCTCCGTCCCGCCGCCCGTTTCTCTGGCCGCAGGGCTGCCGCGGCGGGGCGCTCGCTCCAATAGTCAGACGTTGCAAGCGGCGCTTATTTGGGGAAAAAGGAATTAAAAGTTTTTCGAGTTTGTTTCGGCCCGTTTTTACAACCGGCCGCGCCATCGCTCGCCTATGCGCCGTGCCGCCGGCGCAACCGCCCCTTCCGCTGAGCGCCGGTAGCCCCGCGCTGAGGGAGGCGCCGCGCGCAGGCGCTGGCCGGGACAGCCTCGCGCCGGGGTCCTACTTGAGCGGCGGCGCGCGCGCCGAGCGCCGCGCAGTTCACACGTGGGGTGCGTGGTGCGGCGCGCGCGCCTGGGCCGTCGGTTGAGGAGCCGGCAGTAGCGAGGCGGCGGGAGGCGGGAAGGACCGCGCGCTCGGCCGGCGCCATGCAGCGCCGCAAGGTGGATAATCGAATCCGGGTGCTGATTGAGAACGGGGTGGCGGAGCGGCAGAGGAGCCTCTTCGTGGTGGTCGGCGACCGCGGCAAGGACCAGGTGAGCGCCTCGTGGCTGCGGTGCCGGGAAGGAGTGCTGGGATTCAGCTTCGCAGCGCCTTTAACCGCCCGTCCGTTCTGCTGCTCGGTGGATGCCGCGGCTGTAAATTCAGGGATGGGTCAGCGTAGAACGTTCGTAGAATCGATTGAGTTGGAAGGGGCCGAAATGCCATCTGGTCCGCCTCCCCTGCAGCGAGCGGGGACGCCACGCGAGGTCAGGTGCCCGCAGCCCATCCGTCCTGCCGGGGGTGTCTCGGGGATGGGCCTCCACCTCTCCGGGCAGCCTGTGCCGTGCCTCACCGCTCTTCTGTAAAAATCTTTCTTCCATCCGCTCTTCTCGTTTGAAACCGTTTGCCCCTGTCTCATCTCGGCAGACCCTGCTAAAAAGCGTACTGCTCCTTGTTGGCTTGCGAGTGCAGCTGCGCATTGCTGTTTCCGTGTCTTGGCAGGTGGTTATACTTCACCACATGTTGTCCAAGGCGACTGTCAAGGCCAGGCCCTCTGTCCTGTGGTGTTACAAAAAGGAGCTGGGCTTTAGCAGGTAAGGTGCCTTTTGCATCTCACGTTGCAGTAAATGGCTGAGCGCTCTCTGTGAAGGAAAAGCTCTGTGGCTGCTCTGCTCAGCGTGAGCTGATTTGGTTGTCAGGAGAAACAAGTCTTGTTTTTGCAGGAGATACAGGATGCCCAATTTTCCAAAGCTAAAATTCAGCTACAGCAGTGTGGTTGGCATCAGTGCTATGTACTTCTGCTTTCCTTCTGTAGCTCCAGCACTAACCCCGTTGTCCTGGGCCTATTTCTCCCTCTTCTTTCTAATCTCAAATGGCCAAAACTTCAGTGCCTCAGTAGTATATACAACTGGGTACAGATTAGGCATTGCTTTCATTTGAGAAAGGATTTAAAATCTTAGTTCTTAGATTTGCCTGCATACTTGCAGTCTGGGCACAAAGCCGGGAAGGGTTACTTGAAACTACGTGATTCCAACCAGATGATTTCTTCCAAAAACAGCTGGTTCTGCGTAGTTTCCTCCACTTTGGGCCAAAGGCATTTGGGAACATACCCTGAATACAGTACGTGTAATGCAAGACTTTTCCTTGGAGGCTGAGCTCTGAATTTCATTTAGCCTTGAAACTAGGAATGAGTGCGGTCTTCTCAAACCCTTTCCCAAAAAGAACTTACATGAAGTTTTATTCTCCAGCCACCGTAAGAAGAGAATGAGGCAACTGCAGAAGAAGATTAAAAGTGGAACCTTGAACATAAAAGATGATGATCCTTTCGAATTGTTTATAGCAGCCACAAACATTCGCTACTGCTATTACAATGAAACTCATAAGATTCTTGGTAACACTTTTGGCATGTGTGTGCTTCAGGTAAAGAATTAAACTTTTTACTTAAGGGATGTAGCACTATTATTGATTGCTTTGAGTTTAAAAGCTGCGGTAATTCTATTTGTTGCTTCTGTTACTTAAGTTATGATGGCCTTACTTATCTTTTATGAGTTTTGTGGGGGGTGACATAGCCTTCCTGGGTAGAATTTTAATGGGAAGATGGTTAATCCAAATGTTAAGCTTGAATTAAACTCTGATAAACAATGTTTATAGTTTTTCTCTTCCTTTTAATAGTTGCTATTGCACTTGTGAATTCTAGGCAACTTTGAAGGCTTTTTTAAAATTTTATTTCCTAGGATTTTGAAGCCTTGACTCCAAACCTGCTAGCTAGAACTGTAGAAACAGTGGAAGGGGGTGGAATTGTAGTAATTCTCCTGAGAACAATGAACTCACTGAAGCAGCTCTATACAATGACCATGGTATGTTCAATGGAAGGTGTCTGTTTTACATAGGCAGGTACATTTGGTGATGTTAAGCGATTTTTTTTTTATTATTATTTTTTTTGCTTTTGTTATGGGTTGTAGTCCTCCCTCCATTATTTTTGCTGCTCCTTCTTTCTTTTATCGTGGAATGAGTTTTGTTTAGGCAGTTACACCAACCTTTGTTCTGCCAACAAGCACAACTGTGTTCATTTCACAGTAGTTTTGGAAATTATTTATGCTGTTTGCACACATGACGAAGTGAAGTGGAAAAAGGGTTTTCTGACCCAGTGTGAAGTGAGATTAGTTTCTTCATTCCTATGTATTTCTAAGGATAATTTTTTCACACATAGTATATCTAGCTTTGTAGCAGGGACAGTTTATAACGCCAGTAGGTGAATTAAAGCATTAAATTATTTTTACTTAGCATCCCTGTGCTGCTTTAACTGTTCTGTATGTAGTAGAAGTGGCCTTTAAATCAGACAAAAATATGTGAGACCATACTGAAAACTCTTGGTGGGAGAAGTATGTTTTTAAAGCAATATTTGGAATATTTGATTGTCTCAGCAAACAAAGTCAGAATCCAGTCTGGGATGCAGTGTTGATGGAGAGAGTGGACGTAGTCCACGAGGGTGGAAAATAAATTGGATTGTCCCATGCGTAATAATCTTGTAAGTGTCACTTAAGGTGGCGCTGCTCCTTCTCCAGACTGACTTTCTGTTTCAGGATGTACACTCTCGCTATAGAACAGAGGCACACCAGGACGTGGTAGGACGGTTTAATGAAAGGTACGTTATTAGGCATTCAAAGCATGTGTAAGAAGGGTGTCTAGAGCAACATCATATATTCATATTAGGAAAGTATCCTGTAAGTTTGCATGAGAATAAAGCTTCTTTGCTGCTTCTGGGAAGTCTGTATGTACTATCCTGGAAATGAAAGTTATGTCTTGCTGCAGAAGCTGTATACAAAATTTTAGCATTATATTACAAAGGATATGCAAATGTGTTCAGATTTGTAAAATCTTCTGAGTTCTGTTCTTGAAATGCTACATAGAAACATGTACACAGATGAAAGGAAATTCAGATACTTACTGCTTACTATATCTACTATAAAACTTGGAAACTGCTCACTGTAGAGTCTTCTCTGTGGCTTTAGAACTTTCTTTTAAAGGTGATTCCTCCCCTTTTGTTCTATAGATAAAGTTTTTATTGAGTGATTGAGCCCTTGCTCTAGCCATTGGAAAAATTTTTCTTTTGCATGTAGATGATATTTATGTGATGTCAGAAATTAGAAGGATGAATAAATCAGGCACTGACTGCAGTCTTAGCTGGTCAGCATTTGTCACAATTGTTGTCTTACACTTCTGTGCTGCTTCCTCCTGCTTAAATGCTGGAAGTTATTTTCTAGCTCTCTTGGTGGATCATCAGATGTTAGCGGTTTTCTTTGGAGGCGTGTGCCCCTTGTAAGTGGATGCCTGTTCTGCGTCTTTCCTGATAAAAGACATGTGACCAGTTATGTGAACTTGTCTCAGCTTAGCTTTAAGCTGCTGTTGCTGTAAATACGTAGTACAGAAGTTTAATTAACCACCAAGATGCAGTAGTGTTGCTAGTGCTTTTACTGAGTTGCCTTTGCTTGACTGCTCAGGTTCATTCTGTCTCTGGCCTCATGCAAGAATTGCATCGTGATTGATGATCAGCTGAATATCTTGCCCATCTCCAGTCACGTTGCAAACATCACACCCGTTCCACCACAGTCACAGGTCAGTAAGCAATGACAGACACTTTTCATTGGGAGAAACTAGTCTGAGTTGCAAAGTGTGACAGATCTCAAGAAGAGGATGCTTTCCTTTCATGCTGATTGATATCAGAGAATGGCGTTGTAGAGAGGATGAAAAATGTTCTGCAGAAAATATACCTCATGTGAGGGAAGCATTGGGAAGCTGTCTTTTCATTCCTCTTCTTTTTTTTTCATTTCATCTGGTGAGTTGAAGCTTAATTGCTGTGGTTACTGTTTCAGAAGTGCATAGAGAGATTTTAAGCTGATGAACAGTTAGGATGAGACGCATAAAAAGACCTCTCAAAGACTGGAAGGTGGGAAAACTCTTTGGAAAGAAGCATATTAAAAGGCTGGGGATACCTGATAGCTCAAAGCTGTGGTACTTGTTTCAGTCTCTGAGTGAATTATGCATGCCAAATCTCAGAAAACATTCACTGAGTACAAGCCAAACATGCAGCTTGCACTGTATGTGTTCCTTTATCACTTTCAGTTGCAGATGAATAAAATGGAAATAAATTTAAACAGAAATCTTTAAGCTTTTGAACTTGTTTGTGTGGTCAAGGAAATACTATCATTAATTCTATTGAAGATAGTAAAAATGTAAACAGAGCACTGATGCTAAAAAAAAAACCAACATGTCTTAACATTATAAAAACATTGACAGCAACAGAAATGTGCATCTCTTGGATGGATAGACAGATGTCTTTGGAATTTTCAGTGCCAGTTAGGAAATTCAGAATCTGTTTCTACTTGAAATGGATTTCTTTTGTTCCAAGCTCATTGATTGGCTTTGAAAATATTTACATTGGTTAGAAAACTGACCAATTGCTGCTGCTTCCTCCTAAATTACAGTATGTACATCCCATATGACAGGTATAATGAGGATCATAACATTTTGGCTTATCCTGAAGACTGAAAAATGGATTAAATTCTTCTGGAAGAATTGTCCATGCTTCTTTCTAGCACTGCCATTATCCAGTTACCATGTACTGAAAAATACTTTGCTTTTTTCTTCCAAGATTGGGGAAGCCAGGATACTTGTTGTATACCCATTCTTTTGAAAATGCATTAAAATTGAAGTGTTTAATATCTGTCTATACATTTAAAGTTACCTGTCTCTTGATAGTATATTCAACTTGTGGTAAAGCTTTCTTTCAGATATCTTTACCTGATGAAAGATATCCCAAGACATCACAAAAGTATAATTGTGCTGAGGTGTCCTACTAATCCTGTTATGGAAAATTCTGTGTTTATAGGAAGATAGTCTTCGGCCACAAGACTTGGAGCTGAAAGAGCTGAAGGAGAGCTTGCAGGATACACAGCCTGTAGGAGTTCTGGTGGATGGCTGTAAAACCTTGGATCAGGTTGGTGTAGTACTTAAATGCAAGATCCCAGGTACTTGACAAGTCACTGTAGGAGCAGGTATTTGTGTCTCATCTTTCAAGTAATCAAATCTGAGAGCACGAACGTTGATGGGAGTTGTCTTAGAGAGAAAGATTTCTTGAAAAATTGTTTGGACAGAATAGCTCAAAGTGACTTTATGAGGTTGGGAATAAGTAGAAGGGCTAGAATGGAGACAGCAAGTTGATCTGGAGAAGTTAGCATTTAAAAAGTTGATGAACTTGTAACTCAGGGGTTTGAAATAAGCAGGAAATAAATGTTAACGGTCTGCATTGTGTTTTAGTGTACTCTCATAACTGTTTCCTTGACACTTTTTTTAGTTGCATTTGACTGACTAGTGCAAAGGAAGACCCCTTTGTAATTTCTTTCCTGTTTCACACTGAGAAGTTGCTGTTCAACACAGAGTTTTTGCGATTTACGCACTGCTTTAAAGCATTTTCATTGTTGGCCTTTTCACTGTCCAGATACGTTCATCTTCTTCCTCCCCTAGCAGTGTACCTCCTTCTGTCTTTCTGAATGTATTCTGTGGTCATTGGCATGGGAGTAGTAATAGAGCTGTGCTGATTTTTATTGTGTGTTTTAGCTTGACCATATTCAAGAACTGGGTGAATCAAGAAGCTTCTTTCCTATTATTTGTCTGGGGTTTAACATTCAGCTGTCTCATCTTGTTTTTCTTCTCCTCCTTCCTGTACTAAGGAAAATCCATGTGGCAAATCCATAAGTAATGCTGAAAACAATTTCGTCAAAGTGAATTTTTGTTTCTTGTATTTTTCTGATCATCAGGCAAAAGCAGTTCTGAAATTTATTGAAGCCATTTCTGAGAAGACCCTGCGGAGCACTGTGGCTTTAACGGCAGCCAGGGGACGTGGTAAATCTGCTGCTTTAGGACTGGCTATTGCTGGAGCAGTAGCTTTTGGGTGAGGAATGTCCCCCATGTCCCAAGTTTTATTTGCATCCATGAATTTTTTTAAAAAAATTCTGATAAGATTTTAATATATTTACAATTTCCAGTCCTACATCCTTCTCTTTTGTTGTTCTTATATATTTTAGTTGCTGTCTAAAACTGATATTCAGTTTTTTCTGTTTTATAGTAATCAGAAATCCTACTCTTTAAAAATTGATCATACAGTATAAAGTGAGATATATGTGAGTATACAGTATAAAGTGAGATATAAAGTGAGTATAAAGGAATCTGCTGTTATTAAGTAGGAAAGGTATCCGATTAATACAAGGGGTTGATTTTACTTAATAAAATAAATCCTTTGTGTGTAAATTTGGTAGAAAAGAAGTTAAATTCTTGTTTTATTTTTCTCTGCAGTTACTCCAACATTTTTGTCACATCTCCAAGTCCTGATAACCTTCACACTCTCTTTGAGTTCATATTTAAAGGCTTTGATGCACTGCAGTATCAGGTAAGGAGAGCAGACTGTTTTACAACGCTTTCACAGAGTTCCTGTTTAGGAATGACTTTGCATCTCATCTCCAACATTTATTGTGTGTATTAGCTCTCAGCTTTTGCCCCACCAGCCTGTTTAATAATGCTCTGTGAAAGCAAATCATAGTATGATTATGTTTACCTCTGTATTTATAAATTGGGAAATTTGGTTCCTTTCTGCGTGAAATAGTTTTTAACAGGTAAATCTTTTCAGAACAAGATTTCTCAACAATAATCTGAAATATCAGATGTACCAAATGTGTTTTGATGGTGATGACAGACTGTATTTTTCTAAGCTCTTGGACTGTTCATGCGATTTTAAAATGTTTTCTTTTAGGAACACCTGGACTATGAGATTATTCAGTCCTTAAACCCGGAATTTAACAAAGCAGTTGTCAGAGTGAATGTGTTCAAGGAGCACAGACAGACCATTCAGGTAGCTGGCCTTTTTGCACGCTGACCTTTCTATTTTTTGTTCATGACTATTTGTTTTATGTAACATGTAACTATTTTGGATAATTTTGCTTTGAGGCAGACCCTCAGTCTGGTGTGTGACTTGCACAAAATATTTTAGATCGTTCTGTGGATAACTTGTAGATTACAGAGCCTCCTTGGTAGTTGCTTCTGCATTCCTTCTTGAAACAAAAGTGAAAAAAGGTGAAGGAAGAGCATATGTTTCTAGTTATTAGATCTTCTTTATTTTTGTGATCTATGCAGATAAATGTATGTGGAAATGTTTAAAACAGTATATGTGACGATATGTGTGCCCTTGTTAGGATAACATGAACCCTTTCCCATGAGTTCTCTTCATTCATGAGGAACAGGGATAACAAACAGATTGTCAGATCTCAAGCTTTGCCATCTCTGAGATTTCCCTATATCCCAGAGCTGTTGTTGATGGTGTCCTCTCATTCCTTGCAGTACATACACCCTGCTGATTCTGTGAAACTGGGTCAGGCTGAACTTGTGGTGATCGATGAAGCTGCTGCCATTCCTCTCCCCCTGGTGAAAAAATTGCTAGGCCCTTACCTTGTTTTCATGGCTTCGACAATCAATGGGTAAGACTTGAGCATCACTGGTCTAACTGGGAAAGCAGTTTTGTGACTGCTAGTGGACTGTGTCTTGTCTACTGTGTTTCTTTTTATACTATGTACTATCATAATTGGATCTTGCTGATTTTTGATCATATGGAACTCTTCAGAATGACAAAGAGTCAGTACTAACACTCGCTGCTTTCCTTTTGGTTCCACTCCAAATTCATTGAGTATTTGTCTTACACCTCTTCTGTTCTGCTAAAAAGAGCATATTAATGAGATTCTGCAATCTGTTAGGAGAGGAGTGAAAACTTCTATCTGGTATGATAAGACTAAAAACGTGACAGGGTAGGCTCCTCTGTCCTATACGTGCAACAACAACAAAACACAACAATTCTCACAGATGGCTGAAGCCATTAAAGGCCTCAGAATGGCACATAGTTCTGTGTTGGAGCTTCCTCATGGCTCAGGATTGCCATTTGGTCATTTGCTACAGACTTTTGTCTTCTGTTTTGCAGGTATGAGGGTACTGGTCGATCACTGTCTTTGAAGCTTATTCAGCAGCTCCGGCAACAGAGTGCACAAGCCCAAGTCACCATGACAGCGGAGAACAAATCTACAGCTACAGCCAAACTTGCCTCAGGTACTCCATTGATTTCTGGACTACAGTGTGTATGCCTGATATTTGGTGTCGCTGCTCAACAAGCCCTGTGGGTGTCCTGTGTGTCCATGTACTGTGCAGCTTTAGGAAGGTAGAGGTATGGGGAAATGAGGGAGCTCTTATCTTTTTTTCTCGTGATTTTCAGATGTCAAGGCACTTAGGGGATCAAAGCTATGCAAGTAGTGATCATTGTACCTTCCTCCTGATGTTACGCGAAGAAGCAGGCTGTGAAGGCTCCAGTTGGAGCATTTACTTTTCAAGTGCTTTCTCTACCGTTCAGATTTGGGTGTGTTTCTAATCTCCTGGGAGCCCTTCAGAGGGCACTGATCCTATTGAACTCTTTGCTGGCTAGAACTTCCAGTCCTGGAGATTTTTTTCTGAAATTTCTTTGCAGCTCGTACATTGCATGAGGTCTCCCTCCATGAATCAATCAGGTACGCACCTGGTGATCCAGTTGAAAAATGGCTGAATGATCTGCTGTGTTTGGACTGTCTCAGCATCACCAGAATTATCTCCGGCTGCCCGCTGCCTGAGGCTTGTGACCTGTATCCTTACTCAAGTGATGTGCTCTGGTAAAATATATTGCTTTTGGGTGGTGCAGGCTTTCTCAAGCTGATGTGTTGTGAATTCTCAAGCTGGCGTGATAACCTCAGAGCATGGTCTTTTGGCAGAAGTAAACTAAGACCATGCTTCTGGAGTTGAGCTCTTATGACTGCCTCATACGATGCCTGTGTTACCAGGACATTACTAAACTTCATTTTTATTGCAGTGACTAAGGAAGGGCTGAGCAGAAGGAAATCCTGGTTAGAGTTGCACAGCGTTAAGCTTTACAGATTGAGGGAGTGAAAGCTATGAACAATACCCAGTCGTTAATTCACTCTTGTAGATAGAACTGTAGATTCCTAATTGCTTAAGCCAGCGCGTAGCCTGAGGCTGAGTGGAAAATATAACTCTTACACCAACAAGGAGAATTTTTTTCCCTATTTTCCAGGGAGTTTAATTCCTTAACCCTGTGTTTAGATATTATGTAAATAGAGACACACTCTTTTGTTACCACAGAGCATCAGAAGTTTTTCTGCAGAGACTGATGGCCCTTTATGTGGCTTCACACTACAAGGTAAAGGTCATGCCACTTCTGTCAAAATTTCAGCTAGGAATTTTGTGGAGGGAGCACTGCTTGTTTCAGGAAGTCTAATTGAATTGGTGTTATTGAGAATTTCTGGTCAGCTTCAGTTGTTTTTTGTTATATACATACCTGTATTCTCCTGAGAAAGAGAATCTTTAGCCTTAGCCGAATACACTGGATTTACAGATATCTCAAATATTTTTGTCTTGAGAAATTTGGGAGGTTAAATTCTAGGTGAGCCTACAAGCTTGTTGGTATCAACCCTCTTTTGCAATTCTCTTTACAGTATTTTAGTAGCATCAAATTAAGCAGAAGAGCAGTATCACTGTACTATTGACAAAAGTAATAATTCATCTCTTGGTTTCTTCAAACCAAGAGTTTCATGGATGACTGACTAGTAATGTAGCTGGTGAAGTTAGGAAGTGTTGAAGTACTGAATACTAAAAATCTGACCCATGAAAAAAGTTTATTTCAGGTTTGGTAGACTAAGAGATACGTAGATATATAAAAATATAAAGCTCAGCTTAGTATATATGAGAACATGAGTTTTCACTTGAGCAAAAGAGATGTCGTTTGGTAGCATAACCACAAGCTGTCCTGTTAGGAGATTCATCCATCAATATTGTTCTAGTCCCAATTGTCTTAATTGCCCTAAATTCAGACAGTGGAGGACTGTTTAAGAGCTCTTCTCGTGGAATAATATTTGAGCTTTCTCATCCATATTTACCTTCTAGAACTCTCCCAATGACCTCCAGATGCTATCTGATGCACCTGCCCATCATCTTTTTTGTCTTTTGCCTCCTGTTCCACCTACCCAGAATTCGTTACCAGAAGTACTTGCTGTTGTTCAGGTGAGAGGGCATCCTGTATATCCTGTATCTATGAAGCAAACTGTTCAGTAAATGAAGCAGGGATAATACACTGTGAAGCAGCAGTGTACTATCCAGGAGTAGAAGGTAGCTTCAGGCTGTGTTTTTGAGTACCACAACAGTGTATTAAGGCTATTTCATTTTTTTTTATTTTTTTTTCTTTTTTTTGTTAACACTAATTGCTGCGTAAGTACATTGTGATGCTGATCCTTTCATTCCAGACTTTAAAATATTTTTGTGCTGAGAAGCCTTCTGAGAAGCTCAGCTGCTGGTTCAATAAATTATCATCCTGCTGTTTCAAATTCCTACCAAAGAGTGCTGATTCACTGGTTCATTATGCTTGTTTTGTGTGTCTGGCATTCCTTTTACTTGCAATAGAACCACAAAAATACAAATTCCTCAAATATAGATGCTCAGAGTTGTAGAAATATTTGTCCTTGACTGTTGAGTATCTGACAGTATGCTTCCTTCCTTCCTTGAGAACACAGATTCTTAATTATTAGTGTTCAGTGCACCTAATTAAATTGGCTGTATCTTAAAAGAAAAAGGTCCATTTACATAAGAAGTACGTGATACTTAAAGAGAAATACTGGGAGACAAGATTTAATGTTTGCTGCTGGCATACTACAGAAAATACATAGAGCACATCCTATGTTTTAATCTTGTGGCTTCTTTTGTATGATACTGTCATGCCTGCTCACTAGTGTGCTTTTTGAGACAGTGTTTTTAGGGACAGAGCCTGTTCGTTGGCAGGCTGCATCTGTTAGCTAGGCATCAGGTGACATGTCAGTTCTGCATAGTGAACTCAGCAGCTGAGGATAGATTTTGATATTTTCTGGTGGAATGACTGTGGGAGAGAAACTTTTTCTCCATTCATGGCCTTTTACCTTTCCTGGCAGGTGTGCATGGAGGGAGAGATCTCTCGCCAATCTATCATGAACAGCCTTTCTAGGGGAAAGAAAGCTTCTGGTGATCTTATTCCCTGGACCATTTCAGAGCAGGTAAATAATTCTGGCTGTGTATTCACACCAGTGATATCTTTCAGCACTATTGCTTGTTTCCAAAGTATCATGAGTAATTCAAGTTGACTTTTGTCTCTTATGCAGTTCCAAGATCCAGACTTTGGGGCCCTGTCTGGCGGGCGTGTTGTTCGCATTGCAGTTCATCCAGATTATCAGGGGGTAAAGTATTTTGAAACCCAGTTATTATCAGTAGTCAGCAGAGGTACTACCAGCCAGGCAGACCAGAGCTTTGCCTGACCCAGTACGCAGTGTAGATCCAATGGCGCTTATTGTGAGAATACCAAATGTTCACACTGGTGTTTGATATTTTCAGAACGCCAGAGATATGCAATAGCAATTACTGTTCTGTCCTGAGCTCCTGACTGGGCTCTTGTTGTGATTTTGGTCATCCAGCAGGTTCTGTGGTATTCTTCCCCAAGGAGTTCCCACGTAGCAATCAAAATATGTTTTTGCAGTGGCTGAGTAATTTTTAAACTTATGATTGTTAACGGATTTGTAAGGGCAAAATGTCATCCTGCTTTAGAAAATAGATCTGTCTTTTTGCTTACAGTGTATTTCCCCTACTTCACAGATGGGCTATGGCAGCAGAGCTCTGAATTTACTGCAGATGTACTATGAAGGCAAATTCCCATGTTTGGAAGAAAAACCAATCCAAAAGCCAAAAGAAATTGCAACTGTAAGCAGTGAGGTATGGAACTCAGTACATTTATCGTATTTCTCATTGTGCTAAGTTATCTACTTCTCACTGTAAGTCTCAATATTGATTTACCTAAGTAAATACAGAATGTTCCTATTTATTCTTTGTACAGAATAAAGGATTTAATTTGCAGATTGCCCTGAGCAATGCTGTTAACTCATTTCCACTTTCTCTTTCAGGCTGTTAGTTTGTTAGAAGAAGTTGTGACACCTCGGAAAGACTTGCCACCTTTACTTCTCAAACTGAGTGAGAGACCAGCTGAGAGTCTAGACTACCTTGGGGTATCATATGGTCTAACACCAAGATTACTTAAGTAAGATCTTGTTCTGTTTACTAGTTACACCCAGTCTAAAAGCTATATAAATAATAGAATATCTATAATTTGTGAAAAGTATAAATATAGATGCAAATATTTTACCTCTCAGGCATTCTCTTCCTTTCTCCATGCTTCCATTGATTTCAAAGTCTGGGCAGCTCCAAGCCTTGTACTCCTTCAAGACCTTTTCTTGTGCAATGTAGCTGAACCTAATCACTTAGCGTGTCCTTCAGAGTAGTTTTCCTTTAGACTCATTGTGAAGAAAAACCATTCTCTTCTCGATCAGCTCTGTGACCCTTCTGAACAGTTAATTAGCTTTAACTGCTTGGTTTTTCTAAGCTAGAACAGTAAGAACAACCTGTAATAAGAAGGGATGAGTTAAATACTCTTTCTTGTGACCTCTAGAAACAAGAGCTGCTGCTAACTTCAAAGTTAGTTGTTTATTTACATTTCCTAATGTAAATACATTTCAACAGAAATTGCTGCTGCTTCTCATTTTTCTCACCAAGGAGGAACAAAGTTACTGCAGCAATAAATAATTTAGTAATTTTTCTAAAGTTTGCCCTCCATTGTTATAGTTTTATATAAGAACTTAAACTTTTATAATAAATTGTATCTTAAAAAAAAATATTATGCAAATCTGTAACATATTTACATTTCTGAGACTCTGTATGGAAAGTTGTGAATCCATAGCTTGGGAGACAGTTTCAAAACTATGTTAAATTCTTCCTGTTACTAACCTAACAGGAAAGCAGTAATTTACCACCTGAAACTTTGGTTCTTTGCTGGCCTGTCCCCTTTTACAGAGGAGCATCTCACAAAAGATGAGATTGAGTCCAACAGAAGAAGACCCAAGGAGGCAAGTTTGTGACTGACCCAGTCAGAGTGATGTTAGACAGCTGTGTGTGATTCAGCACTTCAGATACAGAGACTGTAGCTTGCTTTGTTCTGTGATAAGCATGCTGCAAAGTTCATAGCAAAATGTGAGCACGAATTATTTAGTGGAATGGAGCATCCAAACTGAATAGTTCTGAAAAAGTCTTCATCTCTGTAAATTATAAAGCAAATGGCTCATCATTATTGAACAGTTCCTTTCAGGACAGGAGGAAGGATAAAGTGTTTACTGATTTTTTTGAATTATTTGTCTGTTAGATTTGGTGGGAATAGATAAAACAAAGAGGAATGGTAGCATAGAGTTGCTGAGGTGTACATGTAGTGCTTGCTACTGAAATTTGCAGCATCCTGCATGGCTGATGAGTAGTCATCCTTCAGCCTGTGGAGGTGGATTGCCAGTGACAGTTGTTCTGGGGCCTGACTTCTTTTGTCCGAGACACCATATGTTTCATCTCAGCAGGACTTTTACACTAGTATTCCTTTTCCTGGGCAAAATGAAATTAGTATCAGTTCACAGCCAAGATGCAGGAGAGGAGGATGGAAAGGGATATCAGCATGATTTGTCAAGTCTGTCTCGGGCTCTCTCTGGTCTATAAGTGATTATTAAAGAAGAGTGGAGTCTCTGAAGTGAACTATAAATCCTTCACACTTTCCCCAGGATATCCCTAAGGATTCTGTGGTGTTTTTGATCGAAACGGATTTGCCTGTTTTTAATAGAGGTCCTGGAAGCATGCTGAATACAAGAGTTCTTGTCTGCTAGTTTTTGAAATTTCATTCATTTTCTGATGCAATGATAATTAGTTTTAACTGCTCTGGTTAGAATTTCAATCAGTTAGATTGCTGTTGGTATTTTCTGTCAGTGTTAATTTTTATTATTTAGTAAGGTAGTGCCTACCTTTCAACAGTTGCTCTTGTATAATAGATAGATTTTATTTAACCACAAGTATTATTGCAAAATCAACAGCTCCATATTTCTCAGTGTGCTTTCTCTTGTCATTTTCCCTAGGTTTTGGAAGCGTGCTGGATTTGTGCCAGTTTATCTAAGGCAGACACCAGTAAGTAGCATACTGTTTCTGAATGAAATCCAGCCCTGTTAAAATCACTGGGCATATTTCCATTGGTTTCTGCGAGATCTCATTTGGGCAAAAATGTTTTCTGAAACTACATTTGGAGTTTGTTTTATATTCATTTTTGTTCTTTTGGCCTAATAGTTTACTAATAGACTCAAGTATTAGGGTTGTGAATGTGGAATTCTAAGTAATTTACACTTAAAGAAGTAGAGCGAGGGTGCAGCTGGTGAAGGTTGTTATTATAGTCGTGGGTAAAATATGCAAGTGGTCCTCAAACTGACTGCCATCATTTTTCTAGGTATTTACCAAAAGTAGCTGTAGTGATTATTGTACTTCTGGAGAAGATAATTTGTTTGTCTCATATCATTGCATTTTACTTTAGTTTTTCTGGCTCTTGAACTGTATGTTGGTTTTGCAACAGTAGTTGAATATTTCAAGAAGCCAAAATCCCTCAGCATGGGGATTTACCAGATTGTAGAAGTTCATTGTTTCGTGGTGGTCATCAGTAGCAATGGATGTAAGAGTTGTTGATTTAGAAGACCTTTGTCTTCTTCAGTTTAGTATAGAATGCATACAGTTGATGCTGATGATGGGAAATGCATCTTCATTATTAGAATGATCTGACTGGTGAGCATTCGTGCATCATGATGAAGATGCTGAATGAAGAGGACGTTGAACAGGAGCCTTGGCTTACTGCCTTCTGGAAAGGTAACAACTAATACTAAGAAAAAATTTTGGAATATTTATTCTGGAGGTTCACAGGAGTAATTTATTTTTTCATCTTGTTGTATAGATTTTAGGAGGCGGTTTCTTTCTCTACTTTCCTACCAGTTCAGCACATTCTCTCCCTCGCTTGCATTGAATATCCTACAGAACAAAAATATCAAACAGCAGTCACAGCCCCGTAAGTACTCATGCTCACTCTGGTTATCTAGATTGCAGTTTAAAGTCTTTGTATAGATTTGTCAGACTCTCAAATACATGCATAATATGAAGCCTCTTGTGAAGTGCTATGAATTGGTCTTAGTATGTTTTGTTCCTATCATCTAAAAAAATGCTTGCATTTTTGAGTAAGAACTATCGGAACATTTTCAACTGAAAATAGGTAGTGTTTCTGTGCTGTTCCACTTTTTTTTTTGCTGTGCTTTTCTTTTTTAATCAAAGATTTAAGTTTAAGTGCTCTAAAACTAGAGGGATCTTGACTGTAGCAAGGTAAAGGCATGAGAAAACAAAAGCCAGTGGATGAATACTGAAGCCTGCTGAAGTTGAAATGAAAGCTTTGAGTAGCAAGGGTCAATAAGTAGAGCAGGGAACATGTTGTCATCAGAAATTTGGAAATCAGAATTTGGTGTCTTTTTAAGAGGCTTTAGTCCAGCTGCATGGTTGTGGGGTTCAGTGCAACACCTGCTGGGGAAAACACGTAGACAATGTAATAAAAAGGGCAAACAAGACAATTCTAATTTTAAGCCTCTTGGCTTAAAAGTCCTGCTTAAAAGCAAGTTGCTATTTTCTCTTTAAGCCTAAGAGAGTCTTCTTAAGAGAACTTGGTGATCTGCCTCTTGTGGTTTTTAGTATCTGTCTTGCTGAGAAAGGTTTGGTTGTTGCTACAAGGAAACAAAGTTTGTTACCAGCAAAACCAATATGAAGCAAGGAAAGACTGAGCAAACTGTTTTTCTCAATCAGCTCTTGCTGCTTTTAGTCTCTCTGGCATGTTTGACTTGATTAACTGGTCTGTTTTGAGATTTGCAATGCTCTTGAATAAGCAAGCCAGTTTGAATAGCAGTGTTATTCCTAGTGTCTTGCCTTCTGAAGAATATTGGGAAGTGAACCTATGCGTAGCAGTTCAATCAATGATGTGAAAAAGGAATTTGTTAAATACTGAGATCCTGGACAGCTATGAAGAACAGCTTTGATGCTGATATCTCTTTATTGTTCAGCCATCAGCCGTGCTGAATTAGAATCTGCTTTCATCCCGTATGACCTAAAGAGATTAGAGATGTACTCTCGCAACATGGTGGACTATCATCTCATCATGGACATGGTACCTACCATTGCCAGGATGTTTTTTCTCAACCAGTTGGGTGATATCTCTCTGTCTGCAGCACAGTCGGTATGTTTCATTATGATAACAAGCCATATTTCACCTCTCTTTGCACTTTCCTGCTGTCTCCTAATTTTGGTGTGGTTTCCCATTTCACATCATTTTAAAAAAGACTTTGCTTTAGGTGATTGCTGCTTCTGTGATCCTTTTCATGATTTCTCCTGCTAATAGTGTCGTTCTACTTCTAGTTTTTGCTTTGAATGAAATCTGTAGAGGATCATATTCTGTTATATGTTGAGTGAAGTATTCCATTTGTTTGTAATACTGTGTGAACTATGGCTGAAAAAAGCCTCAAAGTCTTGTTTCTTGAGCCTGTGCCTCAGGAAGGATGTATGTATGTAAGTATGGAACAATGCCTGCTGACTACAGAATAATTTAGAGGTGTGCCACTGCATCTGAGCAAAGCTTCACCGTGTGCCAGAGAAGCCTCCTATTATCTGAGTAGAGCGAGGACTTGGTAAAATGCAGGGAGTTAAAGGATACTTGTTGATATGCTAGTGTTTGCTCTAAAAGCCTCTGTAACTGAAATATGTTTCATTTCTTCAGGCCCTTCTTCTAGGGATTGGCCTACAGCATAAATCTCTAGAGCAACTGGAAAAGGAGGTGGAACTGCCTAGCAGTCAGCTGATGGGTCTCTTCAACAGAATCATCCGCAAGGTCGTCCAGGTAATCATGACAAGCTTTGTCTTGGTAGTATCAGACCAAAGAGTAATTCCAATCCCGAGTGTGGTGCCAGTAGAACGCTGAATTAGAATTGTGTATTTTTAATATGGACGCAAAAAATGATTGTTAATTTTGTGAGAAGGGAAAATGCTAGTGGAAAAAGCAGTATTTATGTCATTGATTTGTACTTTGTTTTCCCAAGTGAGAGTGTTTATGTTTTTAAATATTGAAGTGCTCTTAACCAAATGCTGAGCATACAGCCTGTGATGCCAGCTGAACTTGAGCCATTTGTTTCTGGTGGTTCACAGCTTCAGTGGCATCACAACAAAAAAACAAATGTGAGACTTTCCCAATATCATTTCGAGATGGACTTGAACTCCAATGAAATCACTGTAGAAATGTTGGGTCTGGTTTTCTTTCTCCTTAGTGTTTGTGATGAAGTGAGAAGCATGATGACTTGCTAAATGGCAAGACAGAAAAATTGCCATCTGCTTGCTGTTGCTTGCTCAGCCTACGGCCTCTAGTTCTCAAGGAACAGTAGCAAAGCTTCTGCAGTTTACCACATTGCTTATTGGAGAGGTGATTTCTCAGCATAATGAAAGTAACATACAAGAAAATTAATATGCAACTTTTAGTTACAAATTCTAATCAAATAATGCTGTGTTAATAAAGAGTATTGTTAACTATCAGCTTTCTGAGCTTATACGAGTGACAGTGTTAGCTAACTTATTTTTTATACTTTTTAATAAAGCTATTATGTATTTTTTTCTTTAGGAAGCAACCTTGAGCTTCTTATTTTAGTATGACGGAGTGTATGAATCAGAAATAAACAACTGCCTGAAATATTTGCACAGTTAGAAGAGTTTTTGCTTTGGGGACAACCAGCATTTCTTATTTATTTTAAAGCAGCAATGTAGAAGAAACAGTGTTTTACATGTGTTGGCTTACTTCATTTTCAGTTGTTCAACACCGTCCAGGAAAAGGCTGTGGAAGAACAGATGGTAGCAACAAAGGATATTGTAATGGAGCCAACGATCAAATCTTTAAATGATGATTTGGTAATGATGAGTTTTCTTCCTAATACATACATAAACACTCTTCATGGTGCTCTCTCAAGCATAGAACTTGTAATCTAAATTTTCTTGATTAGGAATATTCCATGTCACATCTGTCACTTTTTGGAAGTTATAGAACCAGCCAGCTTTACATTACATTCTTAGTCATGCTTTGCTAATCAGCCATACAGATTTTCATAGAACATACAAAGGTGTCCTTGGAGTTATGTATTACATCTATATGTATAGCCATTAAATAAAAATGAAATTACATAAAAGATAAAAACTACAGTATCATGTTTTATGAGATGTTCTTCTTTTTGTATGGGAAAGGAGTTTTGCTTGTATTGCATGGTTAGTGTTGCACTTAACACTTAGTGCATCTGTGTTCTGTTCTGTTGTAGGAAGAAGCTGCAAAGGAATTCCAAGAAAAACACAAGCAAGAAGTGGGGAAGCTGAAGGAAATGGACCTTACACAGTAAGAATTTATCTGTATGAGTCTCAACTCCAGTTTTTCCCTGCTGGTTATTTGAATGCTTGGTTACGAGCTCTGGCACACCTTGCTGAGACTTGTGCACAAGGCTGTGTTTGTAATATGGTTGCAAACAAATGAGAAAAAGCAATGAGCATCTTTCAACATTGTCCAGACTAGATAAGTATATGCCTCTATTCTGATGAAAACTTTGGGTATTTTGTCCTGATAGCCAGTAATTGTTTTCATCAGCTCTCTTAACAATTGCTTTGTTTCACACTCAAAACATAATTTGCAGTAGAAGGTAAACACTCAGTAGCAGAGCTTATTTGTTCAGTGTCATTCACCTATATAACTCAGTACATTAATTGCTTTCCTGAAAAATGTGTCATGGACATTTTACTTTTTGCCAAGCGTGAAGTTACTGATTTCCTTTTTTCTTATTGGTATTTTGAACAAAAAGCAAGAGGTGGTAAGTTTGCATACAACAGCTGATCAGCAGTGAGGTCTGTCTGTGGAACTGTAGAACTGAATTATTAAAGGTGGAGCTGGCTCATCATTGTACTACTGCACATAGAAGATGTGGAAATGCTGGTTCAATTCCCAGTTCAATTCTCCTCTGGCATGAGCTTGAGAGCTTCTGTTCTCCTTTGTCTCTTTAAATGGTAAATTATGTTACTCTGGCAAGAACTCTTACTGTGTATCCATATGGGGCTCTTGGTCCTGGCTGTGTAGAGAATGTGTATTATATGTATATAACTTCCGTAGTTCTATAATGAGGAGTAATAAAATAAGGTTCCTGAGTGTGGACTCCTTATAATTTGATAGTTTTCTGTGCTTCTAGATATAGTCATTAGTTTCCTCAAACCTGGATATGTGGGTCATGTGCAATGGCCAGCTCTTCTGTGTGCAGCTGTCTTCAACTCAAGTAAAAATAGTAGGTGACTAATTTTAGTATTCTAGTATTTCAAAAAAAAAAAAAGCGAAAAAAAAAACCCACACAAAAATACCCCAGAGCTAACAGAAAACAACATCCAAGGAGAGCTTTCTTCCCTCACTGCAGTGTGCATGGATACTTGTAGCTGTTGTAAAACTGTACAGTTTTTACAATACTGAGTTGCTTGCTGAACTTCCTTGAAACGTCAGCAGATGTCACTCTTTCTGAACCAACAGGAATTACACCTGCCACTTGGATTGTCTCCCTTCTCTCTCTCCTTTTTGTCTCATAAATTCATTGCTCTCTACTGCTGTTACAAAAGAAAAGAAAATCTATTTTGGCTCTAGATTAATCAAGGTTAGATATGAGGAAAAAATGTTTTTTGAATTTTTGGTTTTCTTGTTTGAGGGCAAGACAAAAATGGGTGTGATTTGAAATGATTTGTAAGTCAATCACAATAGAAAAACAAAATAATCAGTACTTTTTAATAGAAGTTTAATTTTATTTTTTATATCTGATAGTGTGACATACATGCCTGTTTGTCATTTTGGACTATGTTCCCATTTTCTTCATCCAGAAAAAGATTTCTGTTTGTTTCTCTGAGGAAGGAGGTGCAAAAACCTATTTTGAACACTTCTGAATACAGGTTATAGAAAGCGAACAGAAAAGTCAGAGCTGTTTGGTTTGGCTCTGTCCAGTGTTGTTCAGCCTTGTATGAACAAAGCGTAGTCTAATCCTATCTCTGAGAACTTGAGATGGAGAGTAACTGCTGAATTTTTTTTTTGTCTGTTTAAATTCATACGTTATTTCCAGGGTATTTGAACACCATAACAAGGGGCATTTCTGTCTGATGAGCAGTTGTTTGAATGTGTTTGTAGAAGAAACCTGCAGGTCTTCCGTTTTTCCCAGATTCATACAGAAAAGAATACCATTCACTCTTACTGCTACTCTAAGAGCAGCTGGTAATTTCATTGACTTTCCATTATATGGCTTTGCTTTTTGCAACCTGTTCCTTTAGTACCAATCATCCTTCTTGGTTTAGGGGGAAGAAAATAATAATCAAAAAAAAAAAAAAAAAAAAAAAGAAGGCCTCAATCCTTTAAAAATAAATCTGTCTAGTGAATATATTTTTGACTGTAGTTGTCAGTCTTAAAGCTGTAGTGTTTGAAGGCCTATATTTTAAGAAATCTCCTGAGCAAAGGAGAAGTATATACTACTGATATGGAAAGCACTAGCACCATAGCTCTGTTTTTTGGTTGTTTTGTTTGTTTGTTTTACTTTTATAAATGAAATATTCTGTTTTTGTGATGAGAGACTTCCATAGAATAGTTTTGTGATGTTTACAGTACTGGCTTCTGAGAAAAAGAGCTTCATGTGTTCACGGGCAAGCTTTGGATGAACACTAGTATTGGTTGCTATTAACCCGTGGACTAGTTTGTTTGCTTACAGAGTCATGGCAAGCTATTGTATCCCTTTGCCAGTCTGGTTTTGTATGTATTTCCAAATACTGATTTGGTTGGGTGCGATGCCCTGGCTTTGTTTGAAGAGAGTATGTGTGTGACAATAGAATTGCCTTTTTGTCCAATTCTACTTAGACCTGAAAATTTTACTTGGATTTTCTTTTACCTTTTTTACTTAGATATATTATCCGGGGTGATGATGAAGAATGGAATGAGGTGCTGAGCAAAGCAGGACAGAACGCCTCCATCGTCAGTGTGAAAAGGTTAGGAAAGTTGAAATACTTGGAGAGGTCTCTCTTGTCTTTCCTGCTGGCTTTATTGCAATAAACAGCACTCGTTTCACATCCTTGTCCCGTTGCTGCGGGAGCCTCTGATATTCCCATTGGAGAAAATGGGAAATTGGTGGAGGATTCTTCCAAATTTGAGCTTAAGCCTGCAAGATGTTGAGTCTGCCTTTCTTCAGTTCCTTTTAGTCCATCTTCTTTTACCTTGTGCAGCATGGAGGCTTTCTTTACCTTGGGGGTTTTATAGTCAAGACTTGCCTATTCCCCTTGCTTGTTTGCCTTTTCCATGGTGACTGATAGCTTAAGTAATTATGTGATCTTTCGTGCATTTCTATTTCACCTTTTGTGTGTTCATTTTCTTTTCATGAATACTGGAAGCTCTGAATTTCTAGAAGCCTTACAGAAGTAAGGGAGTGTTGTCAATACTTATAAAGATTGGAGCTCTGTCATATTTGATCTACTCAGAATGTAGTGCAGGAGTGAAATTGTGTACTTACATCTACAAGTGTCAGTGATAATATATATTTAGTATTTAGTTACTCTAACTTCCAGATGCCCTATGTGAATAGCTTTTAGGAAACATAACTTACAGCCTTGAAAAGCAATGACAAAACATAGCTAAAAATAGAGATCTCTTACGGGATTCAAGTCAGGCTAAAGATTTTATAGTGTCTAGAGATTTTATGTTGTACTCTTGTTCATGCTTTCTGTAAAAGACTCTAAGTGACCCATGAAATTGGAATTATTTTCTTCCACTTTCTTTGGGTTGGCTCAGAAGTCTTTGGGCAAACATTTCTGTGTAGACTCTCCCCATTTCTCAAAAGAATTTTGCGTCTAGGTGGGCATCCAGCTTACTTTTATAACAGATATTTTGTTCCTGTTTCCCAGTGAGAAGAAAAGAAAACTAGAAACAGTAAGAGGACACAAACAGCAGAAGAAGTTTAAGAAGACTAAAGATATAAAGCAGAAGTGGAAGAAATGACTCTGAAATGAAATCAGTGAACTTGATATAATGAGTGACGGGTCTGTACCATTCTCCTTTCAAACCAAAAGACTTTTTCTTGAGGAGCAGGAGGGTGAGAGCTAAAGAGAAGGAAAAGCCTAAGAGGCATTTTAAAAGTGTTTGTATTAAGGGAAGTGCAGTGACACTGCCAGGAGACGGTCTATGGAGTGGTTTTATGAAGTGTGACTGCAAAGCTTGCATGAGGCACTCTGCAAAACACTGGGATATTATGAGGGTGCCTTAGCAGCTACAGTTTCCATTCAGACTGACAGATCAATCTCTAAACTTTCCTGCTCCTTAATGGTTGATGTCTATTAAAAAAAGTTTGGATAACAAAGCATAGAAATGCATTATCCTTTGGTACATGACTGTGTTGTAGCATTGCTGTACAGCTGGAAATATTCAGATACTGGTTCAGTAGTAAAAGCATTCCTTTGTAGCAGTGGGGAGATGCCAGTGTGGGGAACACACACTTTTCATTTGGGGCTGGCTACTCTGAGCCCTAACCATATTGTCCTGCTCAAAATCTTCAGAACACTTCTGTTTTGGAACACAGTGTTTAGTTTCTGTGTACTGTGCTCCTCAAACAGCTGTAATAAAAGGCTCTTTTACATTCGCCTTGCTCAGTAATCTACATTTCTTAGTTCTTAAATAGGATAGAATAATTAATAGTTGCTAGAAAAGCGTCTTTGACTATTGCCTGTCTTGCTGTCTGCTCACCAAGTGACGCTACTTAGCTTTGTTGGAAAGTTTTCTGTGAGGCTTGCTAGGATGTCAGCACTATTCAACCAACACCTTGATCCTAGTGATCTTTTGAGGGGGTAGGTAAGCTCCAGCTGTGCTACTAGCTTGGCAATAATGGAGCACCAGTCTGGAATTCTTGTGACTGCAGACTCCAGAGGCTTCAGAACCAGGGCTGATTTCTGATACAGAACTCTCCCTGTTCTGAACCTTACTACTCTGGTGCATTTTCTTGATGTGCTAGCATAAAGATTTAGAAAAGGAAGACTTACCTACAGGCAACATGTAGCTGCATTCTATTTGTTTGTAGATCTCAGAGCATCTGTTTCTAGTAAATCCTTAAAGAAGAAAGTTCTTCCTAGTTAACACAGTATTTGTTTTCTAGGATGACATTTTATAAAAGATGTAAATTAAATATAGACCTTGTACAACACAGCCTGTGTATTAACCTTTGGTTACTAGACTTTATGAGAAAAAGCAGCAACAGCACATCACCAACACTGGGGGAGTCCTGAGATCTGCAGCTGCAGCCCTTAAAGGCTTAATGAGGAGCCTGATTATCAGCCAGCTGTGCCCAAGTGGCTGCAGCACCTGGCAGCAATTAGTGGTGGTTGCCTGCCTAGAAAGGGCTCTGGAGAAGTTAGGAAAGGAGCAGATAGGAAGTGTGAGCTTCTTCGTCTTTGGAAGGTCTTCAGGAAGAAAAGGTGAGTGTGAATTTTGTTTGTTTTTACTGTTGTTGCTGTTAGCAGTGGGATAACGTTGGCATGCCTGCTTCCTATGCTTTGCTTTGAGAGGAGCAGCAGTGGTTTAACAGGCTGTGAGAGAAGGCTTTTAATGCTTGCAGAGTCCCTTCAAAGCATGTTGGAACTTAGTATTGATATAGCACCAGCAGTTTAACTGGATTCTGTGTGGATTGTTGGTTTGTATGTTAAGTAGCGTTCTGCTTGCTCTAGGTATAGATGATGGTATGGGAATGCTTTGTTCTTAATGTGTGTTAAGCTTTTGTGGTAAGAAAACATTAATTTCTTAAAACATAAAAGAGGTGTAAATTAGAGTGCGCATCTTGTGAGTACTGCTAAACTCTGATTTTACTTAGAGATTAAAAATGAAGGTTTAAGGGAACAGTTACTATGTGTTGTTAAGGCGCAGGACTTGTTCGATCTCTGCTTCTGCTGTGCCTGTGCTAGAGCTGAGACCTGCACAGCTCAGGGGGACCTCCCTTTTGTCTGTGCTTGTGACGTGAAGCTGTTCTGATGCCTGAAGCCAGAGGGAGGCAATGGTTGTTTCAGGAAATATGGTCTCATGCTGGTAGGCTGCAAGCGCCTGTAGAAACTTGGCTGTCTGTTTTACTGGCACCATCTCAGGGAAAGTACATTTGCTTATTGATGCAGGAGCCAGACTGGCAGTGAGGCAAAACAAGCAATGCACAGTGTGCTCTTTAAGCCTATCTGAGTCCAGGGATGCTCAGAGATGCTGTGAGGGAGGTGTGGGTTGTTTCTGAAATAGAGATGAGGATGTAAGAAAGGTGGTCCTGCCATGTCTCCTTGTATGTTTTCTTTCCCCCCACTCACGAGCCAAATTCTGCCAACATTTACTACTGACTACTGTGAAATAAAATAGGAAACTGGCATGTTCCCCCAGTAGCTAGGAGGTGATCAGTGAACGTATTAATATAGTCTGGCAAAACTTCTTATAAGTTGTAAGTCAAAGTAGAAGGTAGTAGGCAAAGTTAAATTGGATTCTTCAAGCAAATGAGGATTTTACTATTTAGCAGACAACTGTATTCAGCTGCTTCTCCTGCTTGCTGTCTATTATGGGCTGCAGTCATCTTTTGCTCTGTTACCTGTGAGTTTGTCCTTTAGTTGTTGGAAGGGACTTGAGGGCTTTGAACTTCGTCTTTATACTTGCACTTCTCAGGTGTTATTAACGACTGTGCCCCACTATGCCAGAGTGGGAGTTATATTGGAGCAGAATTATGCTATTTCTACAAAAATGTCTTTACTCAGAGCTGAACCATTCTTTTTCAAGTTTTCCATGTATGCTTTGTGATTCCTGGCAGCTTTTTGGATTCCTCTGCCTGTCAATTGCTCTTTGAACAGCAAAATGGAAAAAAGATCTCACATTCTAAAATAAGTGAGAGAGGTGGCTTTATTTTATTTTTTTTTAATTCTATTTTACGAACTCTGGTCAAACCACATTTTCCTCTGTCTGTGCTTTAGCTCAAATGAGCTGGGTTACAATCCCAGCTGGAGTAAGGGCCGGGTGAATGAGCTCCAGCAGCAGGGTAGGGCTATCTGTCCTTCAGTAGCTGGGGTATGTCAAGGTGTCACAGCACGGAAGCTGAGAAGGGAATGAGTTCTGTATCTCCAGATGTTAGGGTCTGTTTTGTTGTTTTGTTTTTATTTGTTTTGCTGCAGTAATTTTTGCTCTGAGATCATGTTGTTTCTGTACCAGGGTCCCCTACAGAGGGGCTGTACACATGTGAGGAAGCCTGAGGTGGGCAGTTGTCACAGTGTGTATGTGTAGCTGAAGGCCCCTCTTGGCTCTCCGTGTTTCCTGTGCATGGGACAGTTTCTTGCACAACTGTAACCAGATGCAGTAGCATTTCAGGCTGTTTTAAACACGCTAGGTCAGCTTACAGCCTTTAGCCTTGCTCCTATGCTGATTGAGTGCCCAGCACATTGCTGTGTGTCAGCTCTCTGCTCCTGTGCCCACTCCAGCTTGCTTGCCTGTGGTGACAGTGCTAATTGGAAGAGAGTGGGAAAGCCATGTTTAGTGAGCAGCACCCTGCAGGTGGTGGGTAGCTGTGACCTAGTTGTCAGCAGAATCATCCTGCTCGCTGGAGCCCGTGAGCTGTTCTGACAGCTGGAAGGAGCTGACCTGTGTGAGATCTCTGGGAGGAAGTGAAAGCAGTGAAGCTGAGGACCATCCCTGCTGCTGGGAGCTGGCTCTGCGTTGTGGGTGGGAGGTGAGCTCCCACGGCTGTGGTACAGCTCCAGTGAGTGGTCTGGAAGGTGAAGGTGGGTATACTGGATGTGTGAAGGCTGAAGGTGGGAAGCTCAGGTGTACCCTCGTCACAGAGCTGGCACTGGAGGCAGAGCTGTGAGCTGTGCGATGTTCTGTACTGCCTGTCCTGTGAGTGGTTTTTGAAGCAATGGGCTTGGACCCATCCGACTGAGGGTAGGAATGGTTTTTGAACTGGCTGGCTTGTTTTCTAGTTATGAGTAGTAGGAAAAGAGTGCTGGGGATGGAAATGACTCTAGTTCTGATAACAGGCCAGCCCATAGTGCTGTAGTAAGGCCTTTTTCCCTGCTCCACTGTGACTTTCATCATATAATAGTAGCTTTTTTTTTTTTTTTTTTGCTTGTTCTTCTGCCTGGGCAAATAGTACTGATAGCAATATTCTGTATTCTTTGCTGTGCACCAGTGGATCTCTTTTACTCAAAACCTCTTGGGGGAGCCAAATCTACCTTTTGTATCCTCTTTCTCTGTCATGAGCAGTGGAGGCAGCAGCTTACAGCCCCACTTCCTCCAAGGAGTTGTCACTCTCCTCTCGTGTTCCCCTGGCTGTGTCTGTTACAGCAGGTGCAGGACACAGTATCTGGTTGCTTGTGCAGTGTTTGGGGAGGGCGGAGGGCCAGTTGGTAGCAGTGCTGCATTAACTGATGCTTGCCTGCTGTGTAAGAGCTTATCGTAAAGCAGTTAGGTTTTATTTAACTCTCAAAGGCAGAGTGTGTTCAGGCAGGTGTATGAGTGCTATTTCCTCTGCTCCATGAAATTGTACAACTATGGCCAGCAAAGTTTTGTGCCAACTTTGCTACATGTTCTAGGACTACAAGGGCAGTACTGTATAAAATAGAGGTGCAACTAGTTAGATGAAAAAATTCTATTTAATCTACTTTCTAGAGTGGAAATGCTCCAAAGGGAATCTTAGATCTTTGTATTCCATGACTCTTGAGAGCAAGTCAGGATTTGCACTGGTTGGTTTCCAAGCATGCTGGCTTAAGGATACAGTACAAGAGAAGGCATCCCTCATGCATCATTCCCAGCAGAATTCTTTTAGATCACATCAACAAATGCTTGTGATGCTCATTTATTGTAGAACTGGATTTCAGGTCTTGCTGCAGCAGAGGTGTGCTGCACAGCACCCTTTGTTTAGGTGTGTGGTGGGAAATTGAAGGAAAGAAACAACCATTAATGGGTTCTTGGCAGCTGCACACACATTCTGGTTGTACTAATGGCTTCTTCTGAAGTCCTTAGAATTGGTGTTCTAAGAAGCGAAGTATTTGAGTTCTCCTGCAGGGTAACACTAAATCCAGAGTTACAGTTGAGGCATTATCCAAATACCATAGGGGTCTGAAAGATTTATGGGGCAGACTTAGAGGGGGAAGGAAATAGTTATTTCTGGGTCAAATTCTTGCTGTCAGCAGAAAGAAACCTCTGTATGTCTGACCTCACAGATGAGTAAATGCCCTTGCTCTTTGCAGTCTGGTTATAGCAAGCCACTATTTCTGATAAACACAATAAGAGGAAGAGACCGTGAATGAGTCTAGCAGCTTTCTATTCAGGTATTCCATTTTTTGTCACTGCTTAAATCTCTGGCTTTATCATCTGATGGTCAGGGATGAAACCCATGCAGCTGTGGCTGTCTCCTTAATCTCTGTTTCTGGGGTAGGCTGTGTGGATAATGCTTAGGGCCAGATTTCAGGAGGGCTCCCTGTGCTGTTGCTCACCTGACTACAGGTGGTTGCCAAAGTCTTGTGGTCTTCAAACACAGGACTACTAGTCCTGCTACTACCAGAGCAAAGCAGCAGCCACTCACACCTATCAGCCGTTCCAGCCTTCTAGGTGCCAGGGCCATGACAGAGGAAGTGCCCTCTGCTCTGTCACGTCGTCTTTGTTACCATTACAGTGGAGTGGTCAGACCTTTAACTCCTAAGGTCTAATTGAAATGCGTAGGAGAAGAATTCCAGAATTAGGATTTTTCTTTCGCATCTGCTTCTTTTCAATGAAGGGTGCCTAGGTAAACTACTTTTGAGCTAGGAAAAATGCAAGTTTTGTTTATTATGCAAAAAAAAAGTGTGAACCCAGGACAGGGAAACGAATGCCTTTTTATCCCTTGCTTTGAAGCATCAAATTACGTACATATACCAAAACGATGCAAGGTGGTAAAACTGCAACTACCTTTTCCACAGAAGATTTTAAATACGTTTTTGTCATTGTTAGAGAAGCAGAATAAATAACAGCAGCTGTGTATTTTAAAATTACGTTGTTAATAAAATCCCAGTACATTTACATAAATGACAACATTAATGTACAATTAACAAAGCATTGTAATATTACAGCAATAAAAGAGGACCTACATTTTTGTACAGATAGCTGGAGCAGCTGCTTGAAAATATCTTCCAAGATAGAGCCTTTTGTGGTGGTTTTCTGGCAGAACAGTAATAATTTTGTAGCATCTCTATGGCTTTCTGATAATAAATAGGGT